CCCTTTTAAACCCCAAAAAAATAAATCAACGCAGAGGCGTGAAAATATTAGAAGGCAGTACCGTTTCCCCTACAAATATATATTTTCTACTCTCACCTCACGCGTCCCTCAGAATAAGACATAGTTGCTTTTTCATAATACTATCTTCAGTTAATGTTGTTAAAGATGTGTGTTTTGAAATCGAGACTGCATGCACGTGCACGTGCACGAACGTGCTGCTTAAAAATTCCGGAAGGCATATATCGTACTGTCATAATTATGGAGCGTATTTTTATGCGTTAATGCTCAAAATATGCACATACATATGCACTTCAGAATACCAAAGAAATGCATAAAATATGCTCGAATGCGGAAAAACATGGGAAAACATTTTTTTTATACAATACAAATTTTTCGGAGGAAGGAACTTCATTGCACATTTAATGCATCTATTCGACACAGTTGATCGATTGCCGACACAGCCAGCAGCAAAGCCAGGAACTCGCAAATGGAGGACTAAGGGAAGCGAACGGGGACCGACCAGGATTTCCTAAACTTCTCGGGAGTAGCGGATGGATTTAGGGCAGAGTTAGAAGACTTCGCCAACCCAACACCCCCCCCCCCTCCAACACGCACACACACACAGACACACACCCCGTCGCTATGCCACTGGTCATAGCACATTACAGCTCAAAAATTTTCATCGGTAGCTCATAAAAAAGCATTATTTGAAAACCCTTATTGTTCCCAAGAAAGGGAGAAATATGCACAAATATGCACACATACGTAAGTATGAACATGCTGAGAAAAACCCCCCAAAATTGCCTTTTTATGCTTTTTTAAATGCAAAAAACTTCTCTACCAATAAGGCACGATCCTTCTTGGGATGCACGTTCTAGGAGGCTGCAGAAAAAATATGTATTTGCATAAAATTATACTCCCTAGTCAATCCAACAGCAGCTTTTCTTGCCGTGTGACGGAATTGCAATTGTGGATTATTCATTCTGACTAATCGATCAATCAATATAATGATTTCGGACCTAGGAATTCAGATCATTGCTCGTAAAATATTCAACAGCAAAAAAAATAATCCAACATGCGTGGTGCTCAAAGTGATTAATGTATGCTCCTTCTGCGTGTAATTAATTCAACACTGCACGTGTCCATGGAGATCATCAATGATGTGAATAATGTTTTCCATGCTTTTTTTGCTGTCCCAATCAGGGAATCTACGTGTTTGCTCGAAGGCCTCATTCCTCAGCGGTTACTTGCGAATACTAATGGCTGGGCCTTTCGGGAACAATGCCTTAAAGACACTTCGAGTCCCTCCGTTGGAATCTTCGTGGAATCCGTGAATGCATCTCGTTATCCTCGCCAAGAGCCGAAAAAGTCCCACAATAAAAAAAGAACTCCTCTTGTTCAACAGCGGGGAAGCGAAGTACTGAAAACATCATAATTGCCTTGTCGAGGAACTATGAAGTCTTGGATTCCCACGATTGCTTGCCTGATCCTTCCCTTTACCACGTTAATTGCAAGGTAACTATCGACATGTATCTGTAAATATCTCCCAAGAAGTAGAGGTGAATAAGGTAATAGTTATTCAGTAATGAATCATCCGCGAGAACTTCAGTTTTCTTCTCTCATTCTGAAAAAAGAATTGGTCCCAACGGGAACTGCTGCTGTCTGAGGCTCAACTTGATTAATCTTAAATAGCATTTGCAGCTTTCCAGGAAGTATAGTGGACATCATGACGGACTGGTTTCACCCGTTCCTGCTCGGACTCGTATCAAGACTGTAATGACAATATTTTGCTCCTGCTTGAATTGAAGCTCAAATCTCTTCCAGGGATCGCTTTATTTTTCGCCCTCGCGGCAAAGGAGCGAACTAAGCTTGGGATTAAGTAGAGCAGGCGTTTCCATCCGATCCATATGAATTATAACTTCATGAAGACGTTGAAACAACTCATCCTTCAACTTGGCCTTTCGGAACGACGAGTCCGAAGCGAGGGCTGGGCACGTCCCATCCGATGGAAGGGCCGACGGTCAACGCTCGAGCGTTTCGGGAGAAGGAGGCACAGTCGCACTCCACGTCGGCGTGGATCTGCGCTCTTGTGCCCGACCTTGGTGGTCTATTGGGCAAAAACGAAACTTCTGGAATTATGCAAAAAATTAATGGATATGATGTACTTTTTTAATCCAATTAATGCAATGCCGAATAATTCCCGTATCATTGCAATCTGCCTTCATCCCGATTGCACGAAGAATGAGGAACGCAGGTGCAAATCAATAGTAGGGGTAGGGCCATGCCTCCGTTTCTTCTGGAATACCCCATGCAAATATTGTTTCTTTGTGTTTCTTAGCGCGACACCACCCGATGTTTACCCTTCTCGGTACCGAATTTTTTCAAGCGTCTTCATTGCACACATTTCATGAAATCAATGTTTCTCTACTGGACGTGCCGGAATGTAATGCTGTGAAATACCGAAGCAGAAATATTCTGCACGCATGACCACGCGCTTGAAAGCAAAAGGACCAGATTTCGAGCCATCCGAATCGCTTGCTAATTCAATGCGGAAGACCTGACTGACTTTGGCTCATCCTGGTACAGAATACAACGATGAACTAGAAGAATATGGACGATTGAACGAGCACTCGACTTTGACTCTCAGTGTCGAGGTGAAACGCCATGAAACGATCGGCAACTGACGAACCAGCCGCAGGAAAACCCGTTTTGTGGGATAGGTAGCGAGACGCCATGGAGCGGCGATCGTTCTCGTTGCATAGTTGATGAAGGATGACTCGTAATTTCCCGTGTCAATTCCAAAGAAATTGCACGGCTAATGCCCACTCTGGCATGACAGAAAGGTGGTCACCGTAGTTACAGATCGATCCGTTGTTTTAGCTGCACGAATCGATGACGGCAGACGACGCCCAAGGAAAATTCGCCGCAACGACCCCTTACCACGTACTTCTCCCTCTCGAAGGAAGCCGCAAAGATGCTGCGAGTGAGAGCTCCAGGCTCTCGAGCCATACGGCTCTTCACCGTCCTCCCCTTCCTCCCCTTCCTCCTCCCCTCCAGGACTGCTGGCTACTGGACTCCTCCGCGCCTGTTCCCCTGCCCCGATCCCGAAGCCGTTTCGCCCTGCAGCTGCGATTCATATGGCCAAGTTGAGTGTTCGTATGCAAATAGCAGTGAAGAGATCTTCTCGGCATTCAACGACGTCGTCTGGCCCTCCACTCAGCAATTGTGAGTGAATGAGGAGGAGATTGTCATTAAAATGTCTTGAAATAATCTTCTTACTTAAACGGCCATATCTTCTGCAATTGTAATTGGATTTGGATATGGGATTTGAGCTTGGAGTTCCATCTATCACATGACATCGTCATATTTCAAATATTAAAGAAATTCTCAGCAGGAGAGGTGCAGCAAGTTACCACTGCACTGGTCGTACATTGTACGCCGGACGCCCGCATATTACGCGGCAGCCGGACATACAGTGTACGTCGCACGAATATGAAGGGTTAATCGAGTAGGAGGATCAATGATGGGATGAGGAAGTTTGTGCGTATCGATCGATAGAAATAACTTCTTTAGAGCGATTGGTACTGGGAGAAACCACACGAACTTTAGAAATGACTTCGCCTTCACTGTGGTATTCCTTGGTGGTGCCCCAAAGACTTTCCCCGGGAGTCTACTTGCTTCGTAGCTGAACCATAATGACAAAACACACTGAGTGGGGAAATGAAATTCATCTTGTCCCTCGCATCGACTTGGACCGCGAATGAGTATGAAGGAATCGATGGAGCTTATCCATGACGTCATTGGTGACGTCATCTCCATCTAACCCGAAAATCGATACACGTCACATCTCCGTACCTGTGTGAGAGAAACGTCTTACTTTCCCCATGGAAAAGTAGCCGTGTTATGAAACCGACATTTTTATAGACCCTAATGGATTCGAATCTCCACGGTTTTTACCCGAAACGCATCAAGGTCGAATACACTATGGTGCTGAGTCTTCTGTAGCAGTTAATGTTTACAATTAAGTACTACCTAATTAGCAGTGCAATATGAGCGAATGGAAGCTATCCGATACTTGAAAAGGCTTTAGACATAAGCAAACGGCACGCGATGTTCTATTGCTTCTTTCAAGCCCACCCGAGGCCGACTCATACGTCATAGCGGAATTGTTTGTTACTTTCACAGACGGTTGAACATTTTCAACTGCTTTCACATGGGCATTATGAGAGTTTTCGCTTTTTTTGTAAGGTTCACATTGACTCACTGAATTATGTTCCAGGCAGCTGTGCCCGAACGGAAAAATCTCGCGAATCCAGAGCGGACATTGGCAACGGTTTCCTCATTCCCCCGAAGTACTAGAATTTCAGATTATTCCAGAGTGGAATTTCTTCCGACAAATCCGAGTAAAGTGGATCCTAGGTGTGGCTTTCTCATTTAAAAATAGTCACAAAATTAGGCTGGAAAATGGCACCCTAGCATTCAAACTATCGGAGCGGTCAATTCGATCGCTGTAATAAAATTAATATAAGACTTTAAATCTGTAACATTTTACTAATTTTTTCCAGATGTTATTTGGCTCGTTCAAATTGTTAAATTGTTCAAAATGTCGGTATTACAGTCATATAGAGACATCTGCTGGGTAGGGAACGAATAGTGCCTACCTAAGAACCAACCAATGTCGCAGAATGAAGGTTGGTGTTAGTTCTCAACTCCTATACACATTGTCCTACTGAGAGATCATTCAGAATTATTTCGGCATGAATGAAGCCGTACCACTAACCTCCTTGCCTCTAGCCTTCTTGGTCCTAAAATTCTTGCCTCTCCCCACCCCTTACCTTACATCGGATCGGTGTCTACAGTCAACATTCCAGGTCCACATTCGATCTTGAGCCTGTATTTTTTATCATAACTCTGTAGTACATTCGAAGGAAGAACTAAAACGGAAATGCTATAAGGGATACACCCAAATGTAACGATTAACTGACTGCGAAGGACGGCGAATGATGTTTAGTAAAAAAATTTTCTGAAACGAGAGAACATGGAGACTTTTTCTCATCCTTTTTTTAATATTGCAGGCAATTCTTTCTAAGAGGCACTCAGGGGATGAAGAACCTCCCAGAAGGAATCTTTGGGAATGTCACATTCCAGGAAATGTTCATCTCGGACACGAGCTTGGAAACGGTGGATCCCTCGGCATTGCTCTCGTCGAAGGATCGCCTCCAACGCCTTACGATTACGAACAGCCGCCTCAAGGAGTTCCCGTTCCACGTCCTCCCTCAAATGAGCCTGCTAAGGGCGCTGAACCTCGCATCGAATGCCTTGAAGTCAGTGACGCCCCTTGGAAACCTCAGTCGACAAAATCTCTCTCTCTGGAGCAATGGAACAAACGCACTCCAACTGTCATGGCCCACATCGGACTTGGAAAGTCTGGACATAAGTAAGCACGTCATTTACGTGTATCCAGAGGATTTTCATGTTAGTACGAAGTTATTACAGTTGCTCATTATTTCTTAAATTTCACATTGCTTTCTTCGTTATTTAGTGATCTTCCTTATTGCGCAAAGGTGGACTCTTTCAAAGGAATTTCGTATGTTTCATCAGCCCACAAAATGTGATTCAGACATATTTCACCTCTCACTACAGGTAACAATCCCATCTCGAAGCTCTCCCCTGGACTGGTCGAGGGCATGAGGCTCCTGACGTCTTTTGATGCGTCCCATTGCAACCTGGGACCCATTCTGCGAAGTGGTTCCTTGACCTTCCACAGCGAAATGTTGTCAGCAGTGTACCTCCACCAGAATAACCTGACGCGACTGGAAACTGGATCCATTGCAGGTTAGATCTTGTGCTATCTCTGCCCGGGTCGGTCGCCGAGCTTGACCACTTGACCAAGCTTGACTTTTTCTTTGAAAGATATTTTATCACCCACGAAATAATAATGAACTTGTCATCAAATATTTTCAACCATAAAAAATATTGGCTCCATCACCAGATCACAATATATTTTCACCAAATTGGAATCAATTCTCATTTTTAATTGCACCACCACAGGTGCTGGTATCACCAAATTTGCATTATCCCGCACCAAAAAAAAACTCATAATCGAACTTATGACATTCTCATCATTTGCAACCCTATCAAGGAAAGTATTTTTCTTTATTTCCGGTTAGACCTCTGATGTCAAGATGAGATTGTAAGATCATATCATGCTTTGAAGGGACTTCGAGGGAGGACCTGTGTAACTAGTCTCCTTGCGCTTGTGTACATGTATGGGAGTTGTGTACGGCGCTGACTTACAGTTTCTGTGTGCCCTATGTATTAGAGGTGCCGTGGAAGCTAGAGAGTTTGAGGACATTGAAAGAGAGATGCCTTCATTGCCTGCGGTGACGGCAACCCCACAAAGGGAAGAGGTTCTGAAAAGTGCACAGGAGTATCTAATCAGGGAGCATTAGGAGAACCTAAAGAGAACAAGGCTCTCCCTCTGAGTTTTGAGAGCTCCAAATTTCGAAAGCACATGCCCTGTTTGGATCAAGACCGACAAACATTCACTCGGAATGCTAATTCACAGCAGGGATAGTCAGTGTGTTCTGCCCTGCAGGCCCGATAAAAAATGGTTTCTTTTGACACATTAAATGTGACAATGATTTGGTGCTAACCCAATAAAATTTGGTGGTCATTTCATGGCATCTGGTGAAAATACTGAGGAAGAATTTGGTGTAAGATTCATTTTGTCTGCTGATGGAAATAATAATTTGGTGATGTAAATTCATTGAGCGACCAAATACTAAAATCTGGTGATGAATCAATACTTCTATGTGACAGTCAATATTTTTTGATGATGAATTAAATATTAGCCTTTTTCTTTGGGCCACCTTAAGTTCATTGTCTGCAATGATTCTCGCCAATGCTCTGAAAAGCAATATAACCGCTGCATGCCACAGACATTTAGTGTGTGACGGAAAGTGTACGACCGAACTTAATACTAATTAGCTATGAATAATAATATTATTATTCTTTCCAACAATAGCAACATCTGGAAATACAAAGGAACAACATGTTTCTATAACTTAATTTTTCTCTCCATATTGAGAAGGGATCCGTTTGCTTACAGGATCTTCCACCATTACACTAGACATTTTACATTAAATACACCTAAATGGGGAATCCATCTTCTCCAACTCTGCGACGCAGAAAAATAGCAAGTCCTTCTCATTCCCGGCAAGTCCCACTTGCCACTTTACTTGGAAAAGGGGGTATACAAATGTTTAGCATAGGAAACATGCAACGGAAATGGTTATGTGGAGGTGGTAATAACGACTTATTATCTTTTCGTCTGTTTTCATGATAACCTTTGGCGTTTGAACTTTTAAAAAGTGAGACAAATTCTTAATAGTTCCTGATCATATGGCCCCATGCATCTTACTGCACGTAGAACCTTGAATTTCGAGGTCTCAATTCTATTTCAGGTCTGCAGGGCTCTACCATGGTTTACCTAAGCGAAAACAACATCACGGATTTGACGGAAGGCGCCTTCCGACCCATGCTTGAAGAAATCTCGCAAGGAGAATCCGGCCGCATCATTCTTTGGCGTGAGTCCCACTGTCGTCTTCTGAAATCCCAGGTCTCCTCTCCCCTCATGACAAAGTTCGCATTTTTTTTTCCTTTTCGTTGCAGAGAACCCCATCCAGTGCGACTCTTGGCTCGGGAGTAGCCAGAACTTCACAGCGTTTCTGGCGAGATTGTGGGGGGTGGAATGCGAGTACGAAACTTCTGAATCTCCTTCCGAATAAGCCAGATGAATAGAGTTTAGGGTTCATGAAAGGTGTGGTGCATGGACTGTTTTCAAACAGGGCTCAGAAACGAAGTTTTCTCAATCCAGGAACTTTGGAAGTCATAATGTGTCTCCAAGAGACCTTCGGAATATCCGGCATTCCATATTTTCTATTAAAAAAAAACTTGCATGATATTACTAAGATGAAATAACCTATGACAGAAAACTAGTGTGTATTAATGATTTTTCCCCGAGGGAACCCATGAGAACGCGTTTTCTTTATTTTTCACTATTTTTCCTAGGCTTTGCCCAGACGCCGGCAAAATTTCCCCCTGCACCTGCTACTTTTATCAGTTCACCGGAGAATTGACTGTGGACTGTTCGCAAGCGAATAGTAGTGAGATCTTTTCGGCATTCAACAATGTCAGTTGGTCCCCTGCTTTGCTCACGTAAGTTACAACGTTGTTTTCTGTCTCCCCCCTCCCCCTCCCCTCCACAGTATTCGCTTTCAAAGTCAGCGAAAACGCGTTTGAGATTCTTGACGATTCCATCTCTCGACGAAGGAAACGCCGTTCCTGAAAGCGTATCGCATCACATGCCTTAAAACTTTCATTGCATTGATAGCATGCTTTTAAAGCATCGTCTGTTTTGGGCGAATTGTATTAATTGCAATTAAAACTATACGACGTCACCAAGTAAGTTTTTCGAGCATTTTCGATGAGCAAGTTTCATCATTTTTCTCACGTGCAACTCGCGACGCCAGGAAATTTGAAATTTTGCGCTTCATTTTCATCTGCCCGTCTTCATCCCACACTTATCGTCATAAGCCGAGAAACCCCCTTGCCCTATCGCGACAGACTGTACCTCCTTAAATTTCCCAAGTCCATGGTAACAAGTTAAATCAAAGTTATTCCTCATATCGAATGAGAGACTTGACGGTAGACGCTTTGACCTCCATCTATGGATGATGCTGGAATATATGTCGGCCTTGTCCATGGCGTGGAAGATGTGTGCTGGAGAAATAGAAAGCCAGAGGAGGACATTGAGATCCTCATCAAACCAGACCACGGGACCAAGGGCATCTTAAATTCTCAAAATCATATCTCTTCTTATGAGAGAGGCAGACCGAACATGAGGCTGTGCAGCCGAGTCTTATTAACTTATCCACAAGAGAAGAAAATCATTTCGAAGATGAGACACATCTCTGCTTTCCTTATAGGACGTATTGAAGATCCTACGGATAGGTATTTCTAAATAAGTCCTCTGCCCAAAGTAGGACTGGATCAGAGTATATACAGCGAGTCATTCGAGAACGACTCCAGAAAATCATTTTAAAAAATGTTTCGTTTCAGAGTCAAAAAGAGATTAGAAGTCCTCCAATAATACTTCTTTGGCCATGACTGAGGAGAGAAAATGTATATTTACCGCGGAATGTGTCCTTACGTTTAATCTCGCACTCCTTGGTCCGGTGAGGTAAATAAATTCTTGCTCCCTCTTCTTCCACAATTCATTTTCTTTTCCTTCATTTCCTGTAGGAACTACAATATACGAATGAAATTCTCGATGACGGGAAACGATGAGGTGCAGGAACTCAAAAAGGGAGCCTTCGGGAACGTCACTTTCAACAACATCCTGATCGAAAGCACCATCTTGGCCACAATGGACCCCTCGACGCTGCTTCAATCGAAGAATCGACTCGAGACCCTCTCCATCAAAGACAGCCTTCTGGCAGCATTCCCGTTTCACATCCTTCCTCAAATGGTTCGACTGGGAGCGCTGGACCTCTCGTCCAACTCGCTGAAGACGGTGCCGGCCCTCGCCAGTCAGAGCTTGCAGATTCTCAGTCTCTTGAACAATAACATCAGCTCGCTCAAACCGGGATGGTCAGTGTCCAACTTGAACGGCCTGGAAATCGGTGAGTACGATCATACGGACTTTATGAATCCGTAATTAGTTCGAAAATCAATTATCCTTATCATCGCGTCTTCTTCCCTTTGACAATCCGCATGACTCGCACGCTACATACTCAAAAAATGTTGCTTCCAACTTTTCATTTCTGCTCATATAATGTCAAAAGCCTCAGCTAAATTAGTTCAAGTGAATTTCCTCTCGAATTAGAATTTGTTGCTTTGTTCACATATCCACCCATTTTAAACGAACGCAAGAGAAAAAGTGGATACTTTCCAAACCATATTAGAATGTACAGGTATATTCCACTTGAAGAAAACAATTCCTTTTGTGATTGGCCCAAACCCATTCTACACGTACTCCACCTTCTGTTTTGATTTCGTTTAATGTTTGTATCCCCCAATATATAATATATATACACCCCCACTAATTAAATATAACACTTTGGATTCAGCAAAATTAAGACAAAAATATATTATGTTCATGCCAGTAAAACCTGCAAATGGTATATTTTCCACATTCCCCCCGCATAAGCAAATTTCTACCTTTAATTTCACAATGTGATGGTATTCGTCTCCATAAAACAATATGGGAGGGGGTCCCATCGCATAGTGGATATTTGCCACGGCAAGGATAATGGGCTATTATTCTGCGCCGTGTGACGCCAGTGGCTGTTCCTGTATCCTCCCCTGCCTGTCGCCTGTTCCCTCTTCCCCATAAAGGGGAATATTATAGGTGATGCATGGGTATATGCTTTTAATATGGGATGATTTTCACGCTTCAATTAAGGGATACTTGAGGCGTGAATGATTTTTCTCCCGGTGGGGTTCATTCTTACGTATGGAAAATCTTTTAAGAAATAGGCGGAGACCGAAGTTGCATAGTGGAATATTTTTTCCCCTTCACTTCTGTATTGCAGCCATACAAAATTAAGGAAATGTAAATTAATGGTCACATTGATGTGCATATTTTTCGTGCGACCTTGATGCTTCGAAAAGCGACCTCAACGACTTCGAACAGCTTTTAAAAAGCCTTGCAACGCATGACCTGGACGTGCTTAAAGGTACCTTTAAGGGTACTTAGGGGTAATGTACTAAAGGGGTACTTTTTCCATTTTCCCTTCAGACAACAATCCTATCTCCAAGCTTCCTTCCGGACTGGTCGGGGGCATGAGCAAGTTGAAGACCTTTTCAGCGTCTAACTGCAATCTGGGACCAACTTTGTCAAACGGATCTTTGACGTTCCGCAGCGAAACTTTGGCGGCAGTATTTCTTCAAGACAATCAAATCGCCAGACTGGAACCAGGAGCAATAACAGGTTTTTCATTTATTTCTGTTCCTCAGTTTACTCTAGCACCTGGAAAATGCTTGAGAGGCACTCAACTTTTCCAAGAAATTTCCGCTTAGAGAACGGACTAAGATCGAACACGAGAGCTAAAATCGGAAGTCTCCTAGTTATTGAGAAAATAAAATCCATGCACATGAATATATTCATAATGTGGATGAGAACCAAAGAGGTTAAGAGCTCTTCTATCATGGATCGATATGATTAAAGAATGAATTTTACGGCTTAAAGAAAAAGAGAGAATTGCGGATCAGCATCATTTGATTCAATTCTCTTGGAAAGTCTTCCCTGGTGTTCAAGACCTTTACACACTTAGGGATCATTTGCCAAGACCCGTATCATACGCCACTCGCTAGCGGAAATTCGGCGAAGGTAAGTGTATGTAAGGTAGGTGAAGGTCACTAGGCCCATGGTCACTTGGACGCAAGGACTCGCAATGAAAATGTGCGACGGTATGGAATAACCCACATTAGTTTTCCCTCTCATCGTCGTTTCCAGTGGGTTTTCCAGGGAATTAGCACGAGATTAGCTTTTACAGTGGTGTGACCCAATACATCGTACATCAGAAATGAAACTTGAGAATTTCGCTGCACCATTTCCATTCCAGGTCTCGCAAATGTTACCAGGGTCTATCTAAACAGAAACAATATCACGGAACTGACGGAAGAATCGTTCCGGCCCATGCTCGACGCCCTCCCTTTAGGGTCAAACGGGCGAATCTTCCTTTCTGGTCGGTTGCTTCCTCTCCTCGCAAGGCTCTCGCTCTCGCCATCTTCACTGGAGGCTTCCCTTCTCGCCTTTCCATTCCAGAGAACCCTATCCAGTGCGATGACTGGCTCCTGCGCAGTCAAGAATTCGTGGAATATCTGCAGAGACTGGAGGGGCTGACGTGCAGGTACGAAGCTTCTGCAATATGCAATCGTTATTGAGGAAGAATTTTTTTGAGGGGATTAATTCATCCGAATTTCATAATTCATTCAACTACCAGTCTCGTTAAGCCTTTCAAAGAAATCATGCTTTGGGTATTTAGAAGGTATTTAAGAGGGAAATTTGGTAGTCTCCTAAATGTTCGCGTTTCGCTCCCCTATGAAGCCACTGGTAATTCGGGTACACAAGTTCATACTGAAAACGATAGTATTATTATTTCCTCCAGAACTTTACAGAGTGGAGGGGCAGCAAAAATTGCCTTAAATTGTGAGTCAGCCCGCATTACCACTCGTGCATATTCGTTGCTTAAAACAGCGGACATACCACGTACTGTAGGTTCGGTTACCGTATTATCAATACCTGTCCGCGAACATTTTGGTAATTCCTCGGCCATTTCAGTTTCCTATTACGCTTCCCGGCTGAAAGTTCACTGTCATTATCCCTGCAGATAATTGAATCGTTAAAGCTCAATGAGAAAAATATTAACTTCGGCCTCGTATCGGCCGAGATGACAAGGATTAGTGGGTGGGTGATTGTATTCAAAAGGGTCAAAGTTTGTTGCAATTGCTGCAAATTGTGGAACATGCATTAGTTTTGGAAATCCAAAAATGTTTTCTCACCGCGGGAGATTAAAGTCTGGTATTGTAAGGGAAGGCTACAATTTACTGGAGCAACTTATTTTATTATTATTAGAGTATCATAGCGGCGTTCGCCTGCCTAATTTGCACCTAATTCCCTCATCTTGCTCCAAGTCAATAAATTAGCCGCCGTCCTTGCCTCAAAGTAAATTGCAATTGGATTGCTCAGGGGGGAAAACCTTAAATTTGCTAATTCCTTTAATACTAGTGACTATGTTAATTGAAACAGGGAAATGTTTACATTTTGAAAGTAATTGCAACGGCCGATATTCAGAATGTATTCGGTTGACTGAATGATTTCCCTTCGTTCCTCGGAAAAAAATAGTCAAATTGAATCGTGAATATTAAATGATAGGACGATCATCACAACCTTTTTGCATGGCGCCATATAATGCGAGATGATGGATTATATGACGATGGATGAAGAGCGTTAGGGACGTTCTTCTATACATATTGGTTCCCCTGATTTTCCTAGAATTTGTCCCAATCCCGATGAAATTTCGCCTTGCACGTGCTCGTCTGATTCCTCAAGCGACATGACCGTGGATTGTTCGCAAGCGAGGAGCAGCGAGGAGATCTCCTCGGCCTTCGGTCAATTCTTCTGGCTGGAAAACCGGTTCGCGTGAGTGCGATGTCCCCCCTTCCTTCCATTTCCTCTCCATTCTTCATCGGGGAGTGCATGTTCTTTGATGATTCTCGCTGTACTATTACTTATCATTTGAGAGCATCATTAAGAGTTTGGGGATTCCATAGCGGATGTCTTTTCCGAGTGTTTCATGCAATGTGCATACGTTAGTTGTAATAACGGTGAGCAAAGCTCACGCTTTTCTCCTCGGGGAATACAAACTGAATTTCGCAGTGTCTCATCTTGTTTCCTCAGCAAAATTTATACTCATGTTCCTCAATATTGATGGATGGTAAAAATGAATGTAGCTTCATGAATGAAATATCGAAGACGGTGATAATCATAGTAGAGTAATATTTTCGCACTCTTTGTATCCCATCCCTAGATGTGTCACCTGATTTTTATGTTCAGCTTGAATGGAAGGTCAACTATTCAGATTATGCCGCTTAATCAGAGCGAAACAAGGGGAGATGACGTGATGTATATGCACCGTTTTCTCAGAAAAAAAATAACAGCTGGAAAAATGCCAGCTGCCATTTTCAACTAGGATAGAATCCATTTCCCCCTCCTTTCAACTTTACTTTTCCTATTACTTTACCCCCTAGGAGCGACACCGTACAATTGCGATTCAGAATGGAGAATAACGATGCAGTGGAGGATCTCCCAGAGGGGGTTTTCGGGAATGCCTCCTTCAGCAGCATGCACATTTGGAACTCCGCTGTGGTGAAGGTGGATCCCGCGGCGATTCGCTCGTCCAAGGATCGGCTGGAGGAACTCGCGATGGCGGGCGGCCGCCTCGAGGAGTTCCCGTTCGGGGTTCTTCGCGAGATGAAGAAGCTGGTGAAGCTTCAAATTTCATCGAATGCGTTGGCGGCAGTGCCGGCGCTGGAAAGTCGGAGTTTGCTGCTTCTGGATCTGTCGAACAATCAGATCGGCAGCCTCGAGCCCGGCTGGTCCTTGCCGTTGCTGGTGAACCTGGACATCGGTGAGCGTCATGACACGCGAGATACCATATTTATTTGTTTTTGCAAATCCCTTCCTTCGCACTTCCATTCTTTCGAGATCTCATGCACGAAATGTATGTATAGTTTCCATTTGGCATTGGGCGCACCCCATGGAGACAGGGAAAAGTCCAATTTCGATGAGATTGGCATTGAAAAATAATTTAATTCCAGGGGAGTTGAAGTTGAACTTCTAGATGCGTAAATGGTCGCTCACTAAAATGAGAGATGTCGTATAGACAAGCGTATACATTCACCATTTATTTCTTCTAACCCGCTGAGTCTTGCCTTTTTCCAAAGCAGAGCGCAGGGAGAAGAAACATGGGAACTAAGAGCAATACGATCGTTTTAGGCATGATCGAGACCTCTTTTCACTATCCATTGCAGGCGGAAATCCCATCTCGAATTTCCCTTCCGGATTGGTTGATGGCATGGCAAACCTCAATTCATTTACTGCCAGTGGCTGCAACCTTGGGCCGATTCTGCCGCAAGGGTCGTTGGCGTTCAACAGCAAAAGCTTGGAGGAGGTATACCTTGGATTCAATCGGATCGACAGAGTGGAACCAGGAGCCATCACAGGTTGGGCCTCTTGTCCGTATTGTATTATCTCTCATGTTAAGTGTCTGAAAACGATATTTCCTAATCTAGATAAAAGTTCTAAACTCTTTAATACAAAACTTAAAAGGAAGTGATTGGTTTAAGAATCGCCTGAGCAGACATGATATTGGAAATAATGTTGGAAGGATTCTGACCTTTTCTCCTTTCATTTGGTCAGAATTCGTCAGATTCTGACCGATATTCCGAACGATATATTCGTCATATATCGTTCAAACCAACGCAAATACCGAGTAAACTAAAGATTTAATTTATGTATGTCCACTATTAGTAGCACCACTTTCTTGTCCTGTATCTTTGGATTTCAGAAACTGAAGTTAGGCCTCTTATTCCAAAAGGAAATTTCTCCGATGCTTTCAGAGTTACGGTGGCAAATTTAAGTCCCTAAAATCGTAATATTTAGGGCAGCAAAAAGGGCGATGTGAGTCCACTCAAGGTGACAAGCCCCTCAAGGTCAATCCAAAAGGCTTGCAGGCTGACTTAAGAGAACTAGTACATTTCTCTCCATGAAACGGACATATGGCGTTATTCCATCAACCCTTAGAGAACAGGCGGCATGGATCATTAATTAGGAACCAATTTTGATAACGTATCAAAGCCCGTCATGGCTCTGCATGAACAGAGTCATAAAAAAGTAACAACGCCGGACTTGGAAGCCTAGTGTTGAAAATTCAAATTTTGAGGGATTTGCATCTCGGGATAATGTTTCCCCCATCCCTAGCCTGAGCAGAACGCCGCTGAACCCTCAGGTTGTACATATGAGTGACATTTTGAGGAGAGGAAAGGAATGGTTTTCGGAATTGATCAAGAAAAACGAGGTAGTTGAGCCTCTTAGTGGATTCAAAGTGGTCTTTTTTGGACCTGGTCGGACTATATGACCCAGTACTGAAAAAGTTACAAGTTAAAAGTCAAAAGTTGCCAGAGAATCGTGGGCTAGGTGAGAAAATTTCTCGACGGTGCACACAGGCCACTGCTCTCAGTTGTCTCACTATCAGTGCGCGCTTCCTGGGTGGATTCTACCTTTCTGCCCAAGATATCGACTGCTCTGTGCACTACTCTTTTTTTTCTGAAATTCCAATGCTTCATGTTACATTGCCTCATACATGGCTAATATTGTACTTGATGAGACACGTTGGTTACGTGAAGGTTTGAAACTCTACAGGTCTCGGACCCGATACGACGGTTTTTCTTTACGGAAACAGCATGAGGAAACTGACGGAAGACACTTTCCGACCGATGCTGGATACCCTCCAACTCGGCGATGGGAGGATTTTGGTAGATGGTCAGTCGAATCATCTTCACCATTCCGCAATTCGCTCCAAGTTTTCCTCTCCCATTACCTTTCCCTCTCTTACAGGAAACCCCATGAAGTGTGATGCGAGCATGGCCTGGCTGGTGCTCGACCCCAATTTCATCCAGCTGAAGCAGAGCGTCGCGTACATCTCATGCGCAGATGGCAGTTCCCTTCTTGAGCTTTTAATACTTCGTTTGCTTCATCTTGTCCTTCCCTTTCGATGGGTCCAACTGGAGTGAAGATCCAGCCTCCGCGTCCTCGCCCTCACTTCGTCGTCTGCACGCCTTCGCTCTGTCTTCGAACTTCTCGATGTGCAGCAGGGACACTGAGTTGTGTTTGAAGTCTCCATAGGGAGCACAAGGACGAAGAGGGGGAATCAGTTGCTTCGAAATTATCCCACTGTTGCTCCATTTTTCTCTCTGATGGTGAAAGAAACTGAGTTGAGTGCATTTTCCCGTCCCAGAAAAGAGTGGCAAATAACAAGAAAACTTGATGGCGCAAGGAAATGGAAGAACTCGCTTCAAAAAGTCGTTTCCATTTGAACCAACGAAACCTGAGGTTAAACACATTACCATTACAAGGCCGAGTGAGACTCGCATGAGATCAAGCTCTCAATTGCAAAGAAAGTAGACTCCAGGGCGGAAGAAGAACCAGTGTATGAGTAAGGAATCGAGTTGCTGGGCTGTGCCCTGCAAAATCAATATTTCCCTTCACCTTTACCTCTGTGAAGCGAATGAGGCTAATTTGCTTTGAGGCCAGATTCCAACGCATTGGGTATCAAAGTCCAAGGATGGAGGAAGCAATATATTGTCATATTTATTCATATATTTTATTATTCTCAATATATTCTCTGCTCCCACCAATAAAATATCACACTCTTTGCGCTTATGCCTTTTTCCTGAGAAATATACGCATTTCCGCAGAATTTTATTGTCTCAGAGTTTCTCAACGCATTCGCACGACACCACTTCTTCACGAGGTAGCATTCATCACAAAAACGATCGACAAAATGAAATTGAGATATTGATTACAAAAGGAAAATGCTAAATAGGTGTCGTGGGAAAACGAGAAAGTTAGCCGGATCGATTGTGATGATCGCATTAGCTTATACATACGACCATTTCTTCCAGCTGACGACGCAGTTTCTCGCGAGTAACAGTAGTTACTTTACTCAAGGATTCAATATTGCCATTATTGAATGATAAACCTTGCTTCAAAGTAAGGTTATGTGTCGATAGCATGGTTTTTTCTCCAAATTCATACTTTCTTTAAGGAGTTCAAGAAGAGGTGAAAGAGGGCAATGAGATATTACGAAGATGTATTGTGGAGAAATTGTATGTAGGCTTGCTTGCCATGCCATGTCTTATCTGCGAGGTGGATTGGTCATGCTGCGCGAGCAGTAGTAAATTTTCGTGCGACCTCCTCCTAGCCAGTGACGAAGTGGAAGGGATGTCCTTAATCGGGAAGTAGGCCCCGGTCACGGTCAAGGGGAGAGGTAGTAAGGTTTTCTGGATGCCCTTAGAGGCAGAGAGTCAGTCTTGATTGTAACCCCGTGCTGAACACAGTTTCCCTGATTTACATGGCCCACCTACCTCCAGCCTCCACCATGGCCATGACCATGTTTCTCGTTTTGTAAGTATACCTATATTTTTTTTCATTTTGTCCCTTCCTCGCGAGTTCTCCAAACATTGCTATGTAAAGCAGTATTAAATAAACCCGCGAGGGCTTTGACAGGAAGATCACGAGTCCCAATCATTCGAATTAAAATGGAAGACTCCCAACTCGGCAACAAACAAAAACCCCACTCGGCTACCGCCACAGTATTGCACATCTCTAAATAGAAGACGGGATTGTGCCGAAGGCGCGAAGAATCGGGGAGGTACTCGCAAAAGCAAGCTACCGTTTCATAAGCTGCTTATGGCGCACGACTAAACTCTGTAATTGCAGAGATAAATGTGCGCGGTGGCGCTTTTTCTTCTATCCCTTCCAAATACGAAAATTGAGTTCCTCGTGCTCCCGGCAGTCCTGTGTCCCTCGGCAGATCGTCCTTCTCCAGTCGTCCTGGCGTCCTGTCCGCCGAGAAGAGCGCCCTTTCCTCCTTTGAGGCTCTCCGCCCTTCCTCCTCTAGTTAGTGTGATGGTTCTCTGTCGTCTTTTCTTCCCCGACGAGAACTCCGAGAGAAATCATTGTGGGGATGGCAGTGCAATAAATCCTATGCAAGAACAGAGACTCCAGCTTCATCTGCAACTGAGCGATATCAGAGGAAGGAGCCAAAGTGCCAGAGGCTTCAGCCTCTGGAACTACAACTATTGGATAAAACCGTGAGCCAACCAATGGCTCGGAAACGCGTAGCGTCTCTATTGCAGCCAATCGCTGCGCTTCAGAATGAGCGCTGCCATTAGTTGCGCCGATCCCTGCACCAATGAAATTACGCCACCTAACCGGAAGACCACCAATGAATTTCGTGACACCTCGGATCTGCACCTGGCTTGGACACCTGTCCCGATGCTGCGTGATGCAACAGCCTCAGATTTCTCGTATTCACAAACTGTTTCTTCTTCCTGCATTCTCCACGTTACATATTGAGCTACTTTATTGCCTGGGTTCATGGAAACTAACCATGCGTTTAAGCTCTACCGACTGACGGAAGGAATTTCCAGAGTCAGCCATGGGAATGACTGACGCATCGTGTGAAAACTGATTATTTCTTCGATGATCGGTCCATTACCAACTCGTCGCGGATGCGAATCAAACAGCAAAATACTGTATTGCCCTACATTGTCATCAATCTTGTGAACAGGGGGACGCAAGCCGAAATAATTTTTTTGTCGGGACCGGAGCTTGATTTGATTTCTTCTCATTCGTACTATCCTGTACTCCACCAAGCGTCTCAACAAGTACACTATGGGGGCAAAAAACAGGCTAAAGAGCTAGTAACATGGTTTATTTTTGGTAGCAGTATGAACGCCAAGATAAATAAAATATAACAATGACGAGGGCTCGAAGAGCCAAATATGGCAAGAGTATTATGCTTCCCGATGATAAGGTAGAAGAATTAACACAATTTCACAGCCGACGAAGAGTGAAGCCGGATGTAGCTCGCACGAAATATATACCGAAGGTGAGCGACTGGGATCGCTGCTACCAGTGTCACGTGGGTAGGTGCGTTCCGTTGCGTCATGTGACCGTTACGAGGGTTAGCGGTGCGGTGGAGAAAAGCGTAGGTTCGGGACGGTATACCACGTGAACAAAATCTGATGTGGCAAGCAGGAAGGACAAAAGGGATAACTGGATGTTTCAACACCGGCCGAAACAAAGGAAATATAGGTCACGGGGCTGAGAAATATAGGTCATAGGTCACGGGGCTGAGAAATGTGGCATGGGAGAGTCTGCAAAGAAGGGACGAAAATGTCACGTGCCTAGTCCGAGCTCGACGTCGGAGAAGACAGCAGACGGATTACACAAGCTGGAGGAGCAAGGACTAAGAGCCTTGACGTCCAGCAAGAAGCAACAGGCACTCTTCTCAGTGGACAGAGCCGGAACGAATGGAGGAGGGCAGCCCTGCCCTCCTCCATTCGTTCTGCCGATGAATGACTCTCGAATGCCGCTGGGAAGTGCCGTCACAAGCACCCCGAGAATACTCCACGTTTTTTCGAGTAGTCCCACCCGAGTCTCCGACGGGAATGCCACGAAATGAAGAAGCCTCCACTATTTAAAGGGCAAGACCTGTCAGAGAAAGTAGTCCTCAGGCCCAAGGTGAAGAGGGCTGCGTGCATGCCCCATGGAGAGGACGAAAGAGGTGAAAGGGGTCGAAAAGGTCTCACGAGTATATGACATGGGGAAAGAGAAGTGCACTTTTTGTTGTTTCTGAGAAATCTTTTCGTCACGATGAAGTTCCCAGTTGTTCATTTACGCTTAGTGTGCTGACTCCAGTCCCGTCCTCACGGTTGCCGGATGTCGTGCTGAACTTATGTAGGATTCGTGACTGCCCTTGTTTTCATATCGGTGTCTGCATCCTCAATTTTTAAATGTATGATACGTATTTGTGCCAAGTTCAAGGGATGAGGCCAGCGGTGACCATTCGTTAAGGCATAATAAGGCATAATACCGATGATAGCGCCCAAAATTGGACTTGATTCTCGGGGGGCATTCCTTCCTCATAACTCGTTCAGGGAACTCCAGATGGACCTAACGTTCCAGTCCTCACTGAAATGGTTCACGAAACTCGAAACAAGCTCACAATATGCCAAACGTTACTCATCCTCAGCGAGACGTCTCGGAAGCCCTTAGAGTGCCCTTTTAGGCCTAAATGGCGCAATTTGTTTCCCTTGAAACGCTTAAAGAGAAATATGGTAAAACCAAAGTTCAGACAGTACCTAAGTTCGGGCACTATCACGTACATCGTTACAAAACCAAGCATTGGCGAGCTCTCATTCAGAAAGAGTTCTTCGTGGCTTGGAAGAGCTGTTTCTGAGAGTGACCTCACGAATGCTATGTTTTCTAACTATTTTTGCTATGATGTCCGAACTTAAATGGTTTTACCCTCTGCGAAGGCGGCTATCTTAATAGCTGAGGTGACTGAGATTGAGAGAAGGCGCGGAAGCACCCATTCGTTGAAGGCGATGGGCCCCAAATGAAGGAAGGTCGGAGTGACCCCTCTCAGATCTGCGCAGAAACGCGTTCTGGGGAGTGGAACGGCTCGGAACGATGGGCATGCTGTGTAAGTGGGCAGGGTGGCGAAGCGAGCCCGTGGCATGGGAAACCGTGCAATACAATTGTATTGCGAAATCTGAAACTTATGAAAAAGCCTTCCACGCCGAAAAAAAAACATTCTTCACACCCATCTTAAGGATGGGTTGCAGGAATTCGATCTCCTGTCATCCTGCATTAGATCATAGCTGTTCATGAAAAATCCCATTTCGTGTCAACATGATATGTATCTTTTTCGCTTTTCCTTCCTAACGATCCTGATTCACCCTCACTGTATCAAATGTTCAAATGTCTCAATCTCAAAGGAGAGTTCTGAGACGTGTGAAGGTCCTAATAGATAACGGATGGATATGCAGGTACCTGGTTATGTATTTTACAGTTGGGTATTTGTGAATATCCCCTTCAACAGAGATTTTAAAAATCATATTGGAACTTTTGCATTTAGATCTTTATGGACTTTGTATTTTTTTGCTGCATCGTCTGATTGAAAATAATTTTTATAAGCCTGCAATGCTGTTCAATATCTGATGAAGCACTTCTACCTCTAAAAAATGATCATTCACGGTCTTCCGGGGCAATGATTTTATATCATTGTTTCCATTCTAAAAAGATGAGAAGTCCTGCTTGCTGGAATGGACGGTGAGAGGGAGAGTCTAACGTGAATATGGGAGATGGCGTTTGACCAAAGGTCACATTCTCATTTGGAACGAGCCAGTGGCGTAGGCAGAAAATCGGCAATGGGGGGGGGGGGGGGGGGGGGGGCGGGGGGGGGTCGAGCCAGTGGCGTAGGCAGAAAATCGGCAATGGGGGGGGGGGGGGGTTGACGGCAGGTGGACACCCCAACCAAACGCCTTGCTCCACTATTCGGATTTCACCATTTCAAAGAAATCATGGTCTGGGATCTTGGGTCTGTGGACGGACGCCAGACTTTCCTCGAAGATGCATGGCTAAAATTAGAATCCCCAAGGAAGGTGGAAATCACAGAGAGTGTATAAATGGAGGGGCTTCCCCAAATGTGCGAGGCGCTGCACCCTTCCAGGCGAGGCCGCCATCTTACTGAAGTCGCACGAGCAAGCAGTTCATAGCAGACACATGGAGAGGGTGAGGAGAAAAAGAGGGAACTTGCCCGGGCTATAAGCATGGGGACCTCCACGTCGGGACCCAACCAATCCACTGAGCTAAGAAAAAGAACGGGAGTTGGCGCGCCCATAGGAATAGTATGGGGAAAATGCATAGAGAGTGAATATGCGAATGTTGAGAATATGCACGCATATTCACGACCTTCGCAATGCCTGATGTTGGCCTATAGCAGAATCGAGAAGCGGGAATTTGACCTCCGCCTTCCGCGGAGAAGGGCCCCTCATAAGCCCTCGAGGACAATGCATTGGCAGTTGAGGCATCGAAACGCAAGCACGCGAGACTGTATAGCCTCTTCGCCTGATCACCTTCCCTCCGGCCAGTGCGAGCAGCTCGTGAGTCTCTGGGATTCTAATCTTGTCGCTTCCTCCATTTTTCGTGTCAAGATTCTACAGGGTGGGCCACCTAAAAGTAGCCCGCCTCCTATAATACTGCGACAGACAGACAGTCGGTAAGAACAGTGTGCAAGGGGCGACCACCTGGGCCACGCACGGACCAGAGGCGGGTTACTTTTAAGTGGCCCACCCTGTATCACTGAGCTAAGAAAAAGAAATGGAGATGGCGCGCCCATAGGAGTGATATAAGGAAAAACGGGAGCATTTTGAAACCATATTGGTTGGGACCTTGCTAACGCGGGCCTGCGTTGCCCATTGGCGGAGTAATGGAGCAGGTACCGCGGGAACATTCCAGCAGCCTTTCTGAAGACGGAAGCATGCCCGCCGACACCTCTACCATGCACCTCGCGGTCGACCGCAGTCTCCTTTAGCCTGTGTTTGCTTTTGAACGTTCACTCGAAGTTCGTTTGACTTCGTGACTTGTCGTAAAATATGTCGACTGTGATGGCGTGACGTCATCGCCTTCGTAGGCCCAGCGATCTTGGCAAAGGCAGGCCTGGAACTTAGAGGCCCGCTCGAGGAATTGGAGACTCGCCCACACGAAAGAAGAGTTCCGACATCACGTCATCAGCCCTACGATACTCAGCCGGAATTATTAGGCCTCCGATACCATGAATGCCTGCCATCATGTTCACGACAGCAAGAAAACTGGGATGGGAAATTATGAAGATCCCATAGTAGTGAATGGAGAAGAGACCCCAACAAAGATGCCTTCCAATTGCGGCAAATCCATTCTATCGTGCTTCCATCTCCCGTTCTTTTTCTTAGCTCAGTGAACCAATCATGCTATCCATTCCTACGTGCGGGACCGTCCCAAGATGGCGGAACTCTTAGTTACAACTCTCGAGGCAGCCGAGGTCTCTCAAGGCACATCTACTGATAAATTCACTCTATGGTTGAAATATGACTTTCAGTGTCACCGACTGGGAAGCCCAAGAGGGGGGCGGGTTCCAACCCGCCAATCGCCCCCCGCCCCCCGCCCCCCGCCCCCCCTCCCTACCCCACTGATGCGAAAGCGTATCTCTGATCGATTTTTTCCCAGCGCTTGAAACCATTCATTTTTCCTGTCTAGACATTTTGGAAATTCGTGGAAGGAAATATTTTCTACCTGTCGATTCCTATAGGTACTATAGGTATATAAGTACTCCTACAGGATGCGACAATGCAAACCTTCCCATTGCTTTCATAACTAACGAGAGAATGAACGAAAGTAAGACACCTAAGAATTTGCTCGAAATCAACAAACAAATCAGCAATATATGTACGATGCTGCCAGGGGTGGCTCTAAAAAATGCGAGCAGATGGTATCATGGCTGTGCGAGACGAGAGCAATGCATGGAGCCTGGCTTGGCCTCGACCAGCGAGCTAGAGAAACTTGACCCGAAAAACGGAGGAAGCGATAAGAGAATCCCAGAGAGACCCACGAGCAACTCGCACTGGCCGGAAGGAAAGAGGCCATACACTCTCTTATGCGCTCGCGTTTCAATCCCTCGACTGCCAATGCATTGCCCTCGAGGGCTTACGAGGGGGGCCCTTGAGGTTAACACGTGCCTCGACGATGCAAGGTCACTCGAATTCCCGCTTCTCGACTCTGTTATAGGCCAACCCTCCGGCATTGCGAAGGTCGCGAATATGCGTTCATGCCGACTGACGTCACAAGGATGCGCACAAAAGAAGCATTTTTCTTCAGCAGTGGAGGCAGAAGGACGATACCTCTCTTCCTCTTCGCCATTCTAGCGTACACGGCCTTCCCTTACGGTCTGTCGTCTCTTCAGCTCCCCTACCGTATTCTTTCTCGTCCATTGGTCCATCCTCGTCCATTGGTCCATCCTCATTCCTTCGTCCATCCCCATTCCTTCTCATCCCCCACTATTTGCTTCTCGCTATTGGTGTCTTTTTCCATTCGTTGAGTGGGAATAACCGCACGTATCAGGACAATTACTTGGATTCATGGGTAAACGAAGTGGAAAAAGGTGCGTGATTTCCGGTTGTGGAGCCTCCCATCGCAACTGCAAAAATAGGGAAGTTCCCCTGTCTTCCCAAATCTGTTCGCGCCACGTCCTCGAAGGACCGCCAGCATGCAGGATATCCTGACAAGAAAAAAAAAATGCCGAGAAATGATGCAGTCCCTTCGCTTTCCTTCGTCTTCCGCGCTTCATACGGCATAAAGAGCGATGGGCCACTGATTCTGCACGAAAACGGAGAATCGGACGAACACGATCCCCATGGAATTCCCCTTCCAAAAAACCCAGAGCCATAGATTGCCCAATGGATTTCTCATTTACGTTGGAATTTTTCTTTTCCCAAGGAAGACTCGTGAAGCGAGGCGGCATTCCTTTTCACTCTGAAATCCCTCCAATTCTCCCCCAAAAAAAATCTAAATGAGCCGAGTGACCTGCGAATTGTTACATGAATTCGGCTTTCATCAGTTCATTCATATCCCAATTCTCGAGGCAGGAGATCCCATCGGGCTCTCCGTTTTCCTTTGGACGCACCAAAAAAAGAATGCAGACTCGGTTTCGAACCCGGCCCAGCCATGCCACTCTCCAGCTCCCTTTATTGGAGGCTCCCCTGGGTGACGTCACATGGATGCTACGTGCATCCATGTGACGTCATGACATGACGTTAATGAAGCTCCTATTGTCCCAACCTTGCTATTGGCGCCTTTCGGTCCGGCAGACTCATTGGGAAGACACTGAAACGAGTCACAATTCCATTTTGATGCATTTTGTTCTCGAACGAAACAAATCGAAAATTGACCAAAGTGTATCGTTTCGATTTACAGATTTCTCTGCTTGGGAAAATTCAAAATTCCGTCTTTGATAAATGTTCCGGAAGCGAAAAATACTGCAAGAACGTTCTTGGGCCCTCTAAATTTCGGGCATTTGAACAGCCAATGGAACCTTTTTCGAAGACGTTCGTTGCCCTTTGGTTCTATCCGAAGTCGAAGATATCCGGAAACGTTCCGGTGCGGATCGGTCGTGAAGTCCGTCGGAGGGAATTCCATTATTATTTTACTTATTTTATTTTTATTTAGTTAGGAAGAAACGGTTAAACAGGAAGAAACTATTAAGAGTCGGTGTTAAGAGTCGCAGGAACACGTAAATGCGTATTGTCATCGTCCAGAAAAAAATGTGACTCCTCTGTTGCCAGGGCACAGTCGGAATCGGTCTTTCGGTATGAGAAGGGATACCGCAGAAGTACCGTAGAAGTACCGTGGTTTGGTGATTCCCATTCCGAAGAGAGAATGGAGTTTCCGCTTCCTCCAGGAATTCAATTATTGCCCATTTATTATAATTTATTATACGGGAATTAATTTGTTCTTCGTTCGACGATTTTCTTTTCCTTTTTGAATTTATTCTCGTATTTCTCGCACAAGCAGAATTTGGAGCGCGGAATAAAGCCCATCATGCCCATCATGCCCATCATGCCCATCATGCAGACGATCAACAATTGGAAGCTCGTTCGAAGTTGAACGAGGTTTGAAGCAAAACTTTGGCAAGAATGCTCCTCGTCGTCCCAACTGCAAAACTTGATCAACACAAATGGATGAATAAATGAGCGAGTCAGGGAAATCTCTCTCGATGACGTCCCGCTTCTTCATTTCGTATCGTAAGGTGCGCCGTTGCGTTTCAGCGCAGGAGTTGCAACTTGAAGTGGGAAAATGAGGTTTTTTTGACTGAAGAAAAAATTGTAGCATCGACTGTCTCTGCGGGGGGAAGGGGGCCGGGGGTGGCCGGGGGGGCCGGGGGGGCCGGGGGGGCCGGGGGGGGGGCCGTCGGGGGGGGGGGCCGCGGGGGGGGCCGGGGGAGTCACCGATCGTTCTTGTTGCATGGTGACGGATCGGGCCGGCACTTGTGCCTGGTTTCCGGGGACATCCCTATGGAGGTTTTGGAGGCGTGCATTTCGGGAACAAAGGTCACCCTAGATACAAATCGATCCGTTGACGTTGCTCCACGAATCGATGCTGCTAATCGCCGCGGACGCCCTAAAGGAGGCAGGAATACATCCCGCGACGCATTCCCTTCCCTCAACGCCTGCCAAGATGCAAGGCTGCGGGGCCGTCCTCCCCTGCCTCCCCTTTCTCCCCTGCCTCCTCCTCCTCCTCTTCTCCTCTGGGACGGCTGGCCAGTCCCTCTGCCCCGATCTCGAAGCCATCGCGCCTTGCAGCTGCCACTCAAATGGAATCGTGGACTGTTCGAGAGCAAACAGCAGTGATGAAATCTTTTCGGCCTTCAACGACGTCGTTTGGCCATCTACGACGCTATCGTGAGCGAAAATTCCCCTCGTTTTCAACATTTTTCTGTGTCGCAAAGTTCGTTGGATCAGGCTACGAACGAGACCGTATAGGGAACGTTACTGTAACGTTACTTTAAAATGGCAAAAATACGATTTCCGGTTCCGTTATCGTCGCAGAGCATTTCAAGAATTCAAACGACAAATCTGGTTTAGGATGGAAAATGTGGATATCTTTCAAGTAGCTGCAAGACGTCATTTTCTAACTTGATCCTTCGCAACTTTTGTTGAGATCTTGGACGATTATGCAGTTGCCTGTAGTAATGACAGCTGTGAACGACGAAGGGATTGGCCATTGCTGGGAATGGAATGATTATCGATAAGTAACATGAAAACAATTTTGCAAAGTCTTTCCCCTTACTTCACTCCCCCCCCCCCCACACTCCCCCACACTCCCCCCTAGGAGAGGACAGCAAGAAAGGCCGAGTGGAATTTTGTGACGGGAAGGGGGTTGAAAAGAAGAAATCGGCGCCGAAGCGTCTCAGGATTTTCGTGAGCGAATTGTGAGGGGGGGGGGGTGGACGTCGGCTCTCTCCGAATCACAAATTTCCTTAGTGATGGGTTCATATCCATTTCGTACGACAAAGTGAGCCTCACGAACTTCATGTATAACATAGAAGAGGGGGATAGGGGGGTTAAGGAGGGTTAAGGGGGGGTAGGGGGGGTAGGGGGGGGGCAATTCATGCTGAGTCGACCGCGAAGGCAGAGGCGTGGCTCTGTTTTGACGTCAATCACGGCGTCGATGATGATCCAGCCTGGGAACGGAGACACCGGCCCGCTCCTTCATGGGAACGGAGACACCGGATGGTCATTACTGTAATGTGCGAGGGTCGAGGTCCACCAGAGCCCTTGGAATCAACGTCCGTTCATCGAAGGGCGAAAATGAGACCGACCCGAGGAGTTCCACGTCGTCACCTTCTGCTTTCCCTATCCGTTCACGTTTTTTTTCCGTTATTATGGGGAAAAATGGATTCCCAGATGGTAATGTCGACATGTGCTTAGAACGGCCCTGTTTTTTCGCTATTTTTATTTTAGCTATTTTTATTTTCGCTATTTTTATTTTCGCTATTTTTATTTTAGCTATTTTTATTTTAGCTATTTTTATTTTAGCTATTTTTATTTTAGCTATTTTTATTTTCGCTATTTTTATTTTCGCTATTTTTATTTTCGCTATTTTTATTTTCGCTATTTTTATTTTCCCTATTTTTATTTTCGCTATTTTTTATTTTCGCTATTTTTATTTTAGTATTTTCGCTACCTTCCCGAAAATCCCGCGAGTCCTTGTGGTTTTGCTCGGCTCACTCCTACCCCTCGCCTATTTTTTCAATTCTTTTCGACGCCCAATTTTTCAAGAAATACCTCTTCTTAAGCCGAATGGTAATCTCTTCTTAAAACGGGCGAACAGTTATTTCCGACTCTGGCGCATTCTTCTTCGGAGAAGGTCGACCAGACGAACAATCCTCTATGTCGGCTTTGTCGACCCCCGCCGAGATCACCATCGACTACTTTCCAGCGTTGGGAATTTATTTTTTTCCCTCCAGATTTGGAATCCCCTTCTAGCCCAGCCAAATGGATCGTGCAAAAGCGAGAAAGCGATTCCCGCGAAAAGCGAAACGGCAGCGAGGAAACACAATTTTGCCCAATTGCAAATTCCACGAATTTCGATTCTGTCCTATTTCGGCGGGAAAGAGCGGGAAAACCGACCGGGAAGGGTTTGGTTTAAGCGGTTCCTCTAATCCCCTAGAAGTCTAATCTAATCCCCTAGATCAGCATTTCTCGTCTCGTCCTCAAAGGAATTTGCCTGTTAATAAAATGGATTTGCTGATTAAGTATGATCGTATCTACGATGTATTATATTTATTCAAAATTTCTCGTTATTCTTTTTTATGGGATGTTTGACCCTCGACGAGGAAAAGGTCCTAAACGGTACTAGAAAGTACATTTTAAATTACTAGAAAGTACATTTTAAATTACTAGAAAGTACATTTAAAAAACGGCGGGATCCGAAGCCATGGAAGGCGAGGTGGAGGTGAAAAAATGAGCCGACATTCTCCCCATTCGATGTGCTTGGGTGCAAGGCCCATCGTTACCGTTACCAATCTCGTTACCGCATTCTTCAATCGATGGTAGATCCAAAATTTTTATTTATTTATTTATTTAAAAACAGGATTCCCGTGGAATTGTTTTCCCAAAAGGTTCAGAGGAGCGTGATTCTGTCATCACAGAAATAAGAATCTATTGGAACGATGATGATCAGACCTTAATTCGTCTTCTGTTAGGTCGAGGCTTAAATACGCATTTCCTCGGATTCGACCGGGATGAGTTCCGCCAGTTGCGATGTCTCCCGTGCGAGATGCGAGTGTAGTTTCATCCCTCGTGTATCGGAGGTCTCGCAGTTGGGTCGACTCGAGGTCGTCGGCGGTTCGAGCGGCGCGGGCATCCCGTGAATTCGCTGAATAACAGGTTATCGCTGTTAACTTCTGCAATCCGTTCTTTGTACGATGAGGCCGAGAGAACGGTGTTGGATGCGACCACGTTTTTTTTTCCCATCTTCATCAAGAGTTCTTAACCTGGGGAGTCCGTAGGTGCAGAAAGGTTAAGAACCCTTTCTCCATTGACATTGCAGAGAGTTCAGGCTGATGCAGAACGAAGCGGTGACGGACCTCCCAGCCGGGACCTTCGGGAACGTCACGTTCCAGGAGATCCGGATCCAGAACGGCAGCCTGGCGACCGTGGACCCCTCGGCCCTCCTCCCGTCGAAGGGCCGCCTCCTCCGCCTCTCGATCGAGTCGGGCCGACTGACGGCCTTCCCGTTCGACGTCCTCCCGCGGTTGGCCCTGCTGAGGGCCCTGAGCCTCGCGGGAAACTCGCTGACGTCCGTGCCCGCCGTCGCGAGCCCGAGCTTGGAGGATCTGGACGTTTCGCTCAACGAAATCGACGCTCTTGCGTCTGGCTGGTCCACGCCCAACTTGAAGAAATTCAACATCAGTGAGTACGATACACTTGCCTTTAAAAAATACATAAGTAAATAAATAAATAAATAAAAATATATAAATAAATAAATAAATAAATAAATAAATATAAATACATATATATATATACAGGTATATATATATATTTTTTTTTTTCGACAGGTTTCAATCCCATCTCCCAGATCCCCTCTGGACTGGTCGAGAATATGACGAACTTGACTCGTTTCGATGCGTCTGCCTGCAACCTGGGACCGATCTTGCCAAGCGGGTCCTTGCAATTCCAGAGCAAATCCTTGATGGAAGTATCACTCCCGCAGAATGAAATCGTGGCACTGGAGCCGGGAGCCATTACGGGTTAGATCTCGTTCGTTCCGCTCTAAAATTCGATATCGCGACGAGAGGCCTTCAGAGATGTCTGAAAGCGTTGCGATTTTATGAAACTGAGAGAAACGAGGGGTTTTGCGAAGCAACTTAGCAACGGAATGACGTCACGCGTGTGGCCTAACCGCCTAACCGGGAAAAGTCTTTCGATTCGGGTTAGTTTGAAAGGTGGAGCAGATGAACAGGAATTTGTCGTAGGAATTGCGGAGGAGAATTCATGGGATCATAATCTACTTCTATTTTATGATCGTTCATTTCCTCCTCTTTCTCATTCTTGTCATCATTGCCATCGTGCGCCGAACCATCGTCGAGGAACAGTAAATTCTAGTTTGAAAAAAAAATTGGAATTCGGCAAGCAAAGGAACTGCGTGCCTGTGATATTCCCTTTCTCGCATCGTTTACACTTAAGAAAAGTTTCTTTTGTTGAGCACCGCATATTTATTGCCATTAGTCGATTGCGGGAGAGCTTGCTCTGTCTGTAGTGCCAGGTCGGACTAATAGCATTGCTTGTGCCAAATTATTTTCTAATACCTTTGGTATATATTAATAGTTAGCGGTAAATGCGTCCAGTAGAGACTCTCTGCACGACAGAAAAAATGGCATCATATATTTATTGAGGGAAACTCGCTCGTCCGAAAGTCTCTTTTCCCATGTAAGATGGCAACGAAATTCCAGATTTGAGTTCGCAAAGGGGAAATTTAAAGTGGAAAGAGTATGGCGGCAATGGATTCTCACAGAAGGCTGAATACGGAATACGTAAAATTCAAGCAAGAGGATGGGTCTCTCATTTTTGGGTTAAATTGCTGGATTTTTCGGGATATTGAGTCAAAATGGTAGAATCGCCACAGGAAGCGATTCCCATTCCAGGTCTCACCAGCAATGCAGTGCTCAACCTGTGGAGCAACAACATCACGGGACTGCCCGAAGACACCTTCCTCCCCATTCTTGAGGATCTGGAGGGAAATGGGTTCATCCTTCTTGCGAGTGAGTTCTAAGGCTTGATATAAAGGGTGTCGAAGAAGTAACGTTGAACAAACTTTTAATGCTCAGGTTGTTCGTTGGGGTGCTCTGAAATTTGATTGACTTTCACGGAGAAAATGCAATTTTTTGTCCCAAGGGTTTGTTAATTTCGACAAGTAATTAAAATATATTTATTTCTGTGAGAAATGGAGAAAAGGAAGACAGCAGTAGCATTATTCTTCCATTTGTGGGCGGTTTATTTCAATGAAACCAGCCAAGAACTTCGATTAAACTTGCCAGTACTCTTTAACATGTCTCTGGAGTAATTTTTCATATCTCTGATTTGATACGATTCTATAAATCCGGTGCGCTTGCTTGCTTGATACAATAAAATTTCGCTCTTTAGCGGTTCCATCAACATATACCTGATATACGAATTTTTAGGTTTTTTTAAGCGTAACTTCTGGGACAACCTGCAATTTACAAATGCAGGTCTCTTCACTTTGCGTTCGCTTCGTCATTCTCCCTTCTGTCACACTATCTCTGTTTATTGCAGGAAATCCGATCCAGTGCGATACTTGGTTTGTTCTCAATCCAAACTACACGAAGTATCTGCAGAAGCTGTGGGGGTCGAATTGCGAGTAAGCAACATTTGAGCGTCTTAAATGACACTGATGAAAAAGGTTTGCAGATTTGAGGCATTTTGATTGACCGGCCACATCGGTTACATGAAACCAGACCCACCAAAGAAAATTGAAGTGATACACCTTTTGGTCTCCTAATAACCATGATCACTCCACTGAAGACCAGACTGAAAGATGAAATATATCTGTTGCCAGATTTGGGTTTATTATAAATTGGCGACTACTCTGCCCGAATGACAGGACGCGAAATTGCTTTCTCCTCATGGCCGACTCCTTCAACCTTTCTCTGATTCAACTCCCTTCGTTTTTTCCCATTATAATGCAATGAATAGAGTCAATTTGTAGAAGTACTTCGATAGTAAAAACGAACGGACAGATGAACCTGCCTCCCTTCCTCCATGCATTCGAGATTACACCTGAGGCAGCTCTTCAATGACCGTATGTATGTAAGTCTCTACATTCATTTTAAAGTAAACATGAACGAGTAATGATGTAAGTAGGCATATATTATACGAGTCCAAGGTATTTCAACAATGAAAGAAGATCTTCAGATCTGCTCTCCATAGTCGTGGTGCATGCGGCATGCTGACAAAGGGAAACAGGAATTTTCCCTACAATCTCATTGGGGTTTTTTTCTCTCGTAGCCTCTGCCCCGACTCTGATGTGATTTCCCCCTGCACCTGCACGTATGATGAACTCTACAGTGAGGTGACGATGGACTGTTCGCAAGCAAATAGCAGTGAGATCTTCTGGGCATTCAATGATTTCCCAGAGATTTTCAACCTTTTCACGTGAGAATGCTTGCCTCTTTCAGAAACCTCTCTTTTCTAAGGAGCATTTTTTAAAAATCAAAGTCCACGCCAAAATGTTGGGTCTGAAGCCACATATTCATCGAAATAATTTCATACCATTCTGTCGTGTGATGACATCATTTAAAGAAATCAAGTAGCGATATGCCTTCGTAGTTAATGCTTTCTTGAAAGTCATGGCCGAATGTTCTTTCTCTTCATGTACAAGTAGCTTCCAAAAAGAATTTTTTGATAATCGGGGAAATGGAACTCTTTATCCTGACAGTGATTCGGAAGATCTCATATGGGAAATTTGCATTCCATTGAAACAATAGGTTTAAAAAGGATTGCGGGACGTACCCTTAGTGAAAATGAAGGTATTAAAAGTAAGATTTGACTTGATAAAAAAAAATCCAGGTAAGAAAAAAAGCAAGATCTTGTCAAGAACCTTCCCTTTGGGTTGCTAAGGGCGGTCATGGTGGCACAAGTAAAATAAAGAGAAAAAAAACTTCAAAAAATCAGTATTCAAAAGTTTATCGACTCTTGACTGGGCATTAAGGGTGGAGGACATCGTATCAAGACTTGGCAAGAAACGAAATTCAAGATATTGTCATGCATCTTGTCCGAAACCCAACCCCTTTAAATTTCAGGACGTCTAGCTTCTCATCATTTCATTCAAAAGATGTCAGTTTGGATGAAAGTTTTGGAATTTCAAAATAACGGCATTTTTCGGTGTCATCTTTGTCATGAATCCGTCATATTTTGCCTTGAATGCTTCTGAATCATCACGATTCCAGGAAGGAAGCCAACAATGGGAAAGAGGACTTTTTGTCTTCAGGGCCATTCAACAAGTGTCATATGAGCAACGAGGCTAATCATTCCACGATCTTTTTCATGTGCTTCCCTATCCGCCGGTGATGTGGATTTAACGACCGTTGCACTAATTCCTACAGAAATGTAATTTTACCGAATGTTGTATGGTCTTCCTGAAATCTTGGGAAAAAACATATACCTATGATTGATTTGAAACTTGCAAAGACGTTCCATCGAAATTTCCCAAAGGTTCAACCGCTGACTAATTAATTAGGTAGGTGTGAAGAAAAATAACTATTATTCCGGACATTGTGAGGTTCATGTTACAACACCAGTCCCCAGAAGGCAAACACTTGCGGATGCGCTTTACTCGTACTAGTTTTTATTCTTCATGAAAAATGAATGCACATGTCTCTCACAAGAAAATGAAGCCTGTCCAATAGCCGAATGATGAACTGAAGCTTGTTCCTCATTTCCAGTTTCCACTGCGAAGTTAACGACTACGGCCAGAAACTCCTTCGGTTAACGGTCCTTTGAGAATACATGGACTCTTATGGGGGGAGGGGAAAAGAGTTCTTTAGCCTAAAAACCCGTTTGTCTCTCATACAATGAGGTTTTCGCATGCATGCCAAAATCCAGTATACGTTTCACAGGCTTCGAGTAATCTTTGATCCATTCCTAAATCCAGATTGGCATAAGCTCATTACAAGTATACATTTCCAAGCATCAGTAAAGGCCGTCAGAATGGCTACAGCCTTTCATTTGGATAATTGACAAACCATATCGATTTTGTTATCGTGAAATGAGACGAATTATAGTGAGGTGGTGAGGAAACTACTTTTTACATTTATCAATTCCTACAATATATCATCTGTTTCCTCTTTGTCGCCAGGAACTACGGTGGACAACGGAAATTCTCCATGCAGAGCAATTGGGTAGTGGATGACCTCCCGAAGGGGGTCTTCGGGAATGTATCCTTCGACACCATATACATTTCGGATACCACATTGGCATCGGTAGATCCCTCTGCAGTGCTATCATCCAAGGACCGACTCGAGCAGCTGACCATTTTCCAGAGCAGCCTGAAAGACTTCCCGTTTCAAATCCTTTCGCAAATGAGCAATCTGAAAACATTGTCTCTCGCTTACACCGCTTTGAAGTCGGTGCCAGCCTTCGCAAGCTCCGTTCTCGAATATCTGCGTATCTGGAACAACCAAATAAATACACTTGACCCCGGATGGTCCCTGCCCAACTTGAAGATGCTGGACATCAGTGAGTGATATCATTTATCATACTATCAATATATCCATAATTGGTTTGACTCGATCGACATTCCTTTAACGCGTTTCCCTTTGTCGATCCGCATGCACAAGGGACACGTGCCCTGCTCAAGGAGGGGGGGGGGTTCTTTCTGTGTATAAGTATGTGCACTAAAATCGGCAAATATCATTCTATGGAAGAAAAGCATAGCGGGAAGAAATTTCTCGAGAGTTCAGTCTACCTCGTAGTTTTCTTCATAAATCCTCAAAATGGAATGGGGGAGAAATAAGGTTACATGCATTTTGATATGATTCCTTGGCTCGAATTAAATTACAAGTTTTTGGTCATTTCCTCACAGGTTACAATCCCATCACCAAGCTACCTCCTGGACTGGTGAAGAATATGAAGAACTTGACATTATTTGATGCGTCAGGCTGCCAACTGGGGTCAATTTTTCCTAACGGGTCCTTGGAGTTCGACAGTGGAAGCTTGTATGCGGTGTACCTGCAACAGAATAACATTACCGGACTGGAATCTTTGGCCATTACTGGTAAGACCTTTTGCCTCCGCTAAACCTTTCTTTAAAACTAAAGATTTCCTAGAAAAAGCAGGAACCATTGACGGATAGAAACATGCGCGGCCATATAGGTGGTGTTTCAGGGAATTTCTTCTTTTTGTAGATCTTTCACGCAGAGTACCTTTATCTTCACTGCCACGGATTCTCTCAGACGAAACAGTCGCTTCGGGAAAAATGATTAATGCATGGGAGTAATTTTGATCACTTCCAGGTCCAGCCAGGAATATCTTTCGTCAATGGGTGATGACTCTTAGTTATGGCAATATAAACCCTTTCTCATGCTTTGGCGCTGCTCCAGGGTATGGTTTGACTTGAATCGACGAGAAATTACATTGATTTGTTGTGAATATAATGCAATACTGTAAGAACCTATTTATTTTTCTTGAGGCATCGTTTTAGATTTAAAATAGCTGATTTTAGTATTTACATCTCATTTGGCGTTACTTCTGTCGTATTACCGGAGAAGTGGATTCATTTTCCAAAAAACACATTCCCATCACAGACTGCCTCTATATGAGGCATATATACCAAATGGCTACACAATGGGTGAAAAAGTTGTATTGCAGCCTTTCGTGCATGCCTTTCTGCTCTCTTTTTGTCAGTTCCATTGTTCCTGAAAGCAGCCTGCGTAGCGGCAATTTCTCTACGCCGTCGTGCTCTTATCAACTGACTTTGACTCCAGAACGTCTCTCCCTCTTACTTTCCTGAGGTCCCGCCGCCGAATAGTTTAACCCTTTGCGATTCGTTTTACTCGGAGCGTGATGGGCAATGTTGGACCACGTCCGACTGTAGACTTCAAAGAATTAATCTTCCCCATCTTTCTCGTGGCAACACCAAAATTGAAAAGAATGATGTGGAGCATTAGCAGAGGGCTGCAGACGTCCATGAAGCACTTTCGTAAACCGGCGACGGGACTGGCAACACGAGAAAACTATGACATGGGATCGTTGCCAGCAGTTACCATAGCAACAAAGTCTATAACCAATAATGCCTCGTACTTTCGTTGTTGGTTAGGAGAACTTCGCTCGGGAAGGCTTTCAGTACGATGTCACTCCTATCGCTGAAACGAGGTCGTATAACGTCAGAATAGTTAGACTTTTTGAGCTTTTGACCCAATCAGTGCTGCCTCTAGTTGATAAGCTTTCGATAGATACCTATAGAATTCTCACGAGACACACCGAAAGAGTTTGAAACTCCCTGGAATCAGACGGTTTTAGACATCAGGGACTCCCAATTTCCTTTATATAGTACTTTCCATTGAGTTCTGCCTCATAAAATGCGAGAGGCAAATATTTCGAATTTAAAACAGATACGCTTTCAATCGATAATCGGGAATGGGTTCCGTCACCGGGGTATCCCCAATCGCCTGCTGCATATTTTCAGCGAGTTCCGTTCCTTTGCCCTGAAATGAGAGCAGACGTTCTGATTTCGAACGCTCAGGTAGAATAGGGGAAGATTTTTTTTTATTATCTCGGCAGGGATGAGGATCGGCTCGATGGAATCGATCTGAACCGTGCACCGGGCGTTTTGGTCTGTTGGCAATCGAGTTTCTGGTCTGGTGCAGGCCATGATATGCGAGCACTTCGCCTGGGAAGGTGTTAAGAGCAATGTTATTCTTATCGTCAAAGTTTGGCCTTATTGCGTGAAAATGCGCATGGGATCAAGAATAGAACGGTGCTGGAATTTTTGCTTGTTATAAGGATTGGAAACCATGAAAGAGAATTAACGCAGAAAGGCGACGAGGCAGTGCCATAAGGATATAATCCTCTGACGGTTCCCTATTCGGTAATTCATACAACGTTTATTGAACATTAAGCGATTGATTTCATGTTAGACTATACTGAAAGCATTGCGGGAAATCAATTAATTCTCTCATGTTAATCATCATTCAAGGCTCAATATTCCCACTTTTATTTTCATACGGAATATACTATATCTACGAATCCCCTATCCATTACATTTATATAGCTCCTATGCATTTTACTAATCATATTATTATTTTACTACCTGATCCAAGAATCTCGGAGACAAAAAGCACTCAGGTGATAGATTAGGCTGTCTTTGGGGCTTTTCTCTAGGGTTACCTTTTCTCCCTATTCCTGCAAAAAAAAAATTTACGTTTACATTGTTCCCACCATAACCATTATGCGTCCTTCGTTGCCATACCATTATGGAAGTGGAAGAATGAAAGGACCTTAACTTTCCAGATTCGATGGAGAAAATGCCGTGAGTTGCCCGAGAGGCACTTCGTAAATCCCCCATGGAAACCGGTTGTTAACGACTCAATCCCTCAGCCAAAACGGTTTCTGGATATCTCCCACTTAAGGCATAGTTTCATCCAATTTATACAATCACATGAGGATTCCACATAGGCCCAATCCATTTGAATCAAATTAACCTTTGGGATGACAGGCTTTGTTGATGATGGACGCACTGGGAGACGCCGCTCACGTGACACGAAACAAAAACGATAATTCAAACGGACGAGCATCATCTACATTCGCTTCAATTCACTCCATATTCTGAGAAATGAAAAAAATTGCTTTAGTGGTTACAAGAAGAGTTGATCATATTCTCGTTTCTCGCCTGGATTATTTGGTGGGTTTTTCAATAATCATGCAGGTGATTCATTTTTCCTTTTAATTTTTTTGCATAAACACTTGAGAAAGTAATTAATTAAGGACAAGTGCAAGGATGGAACACTTGCTGAAAATTCGAATCTCCATTCCCATTCCAGGTCTCAACGGTGACACTCAGGTTAATCTGATGGGCAACAATATCACACAATTGACAGAAGACTCATTCCGGCCCATGCTTCAGAACCTCTCCCAGGGGGCAAATGGACAAATCCTTCTTTGGGGTGAGTGCCACAGCTGTCTCATGTTCCCGAGTTGCCTTCACATTCTCTTCCTTATTGCACGGTTCCCAGTCTCTCACCCTATCGCTCCCCCTCTTTATTAAAGGGAACCCCGTCCAGTGTGATTCTTGGCTCGTCCTCGATCCAAACTTTGCGAAATTTCTGCCGAGGCTGCAGGGGGTTGAATGCGGGTATGTATCGTCTCGTTCTCTTTCCGAAGTAGCACAGCTATATCGGGCATCCTCTTTCAAATGTCTGTTATAATCCTGGTGCGGGAGTTGTTCAAATTATGTTTAACTAGGAAGCTTTTTCACTGAATATCAACTCAAAATTGGAAGCCCTTCTTCAAGAGACCCCAGGGGATATATTATGGAACATCAGATAAGCTTATTATAATCATAATCATGAGAAAACTTTACATTCGTGCCGCCTCGGCTTCATGAGTACACTCATTATTACTCAGGCAGTTTAGGTTACAGTGTATTAAATATGTGTATGGGAGGTTATTCGACAGGTCCTGCCAATTAATTGCATGAAAAAAAATGAAATAACTTAGACGATTGTCCTTCAGTCCTGTAGTCATTAAAGCAGTCCATTTTGAATGACAGAGATGGAACATTTTTCTATCGAATTTCCTGATTTCCCTCATCTTCTGTAGACCTTGTCCAGGTCTCGAATTCATTTCACCCTGCGCCTGTTCATCTGATGGAATCGCAGGAGAAGTAATCATGGATTGTTCACAAGCAAATAGTAGTGAGATATTCTCGGCATTCAACGATGTCCCTGCAGTCTCAGCTATTCTCATGTGAGTGAGAAATCGCTTTCGGTATTCCCCATTTCTCTGTAGTATTGCTTACCAAAGTTTTATTAGAATGTTTAAAATGGAAAACGAATGCTATTTATTGTAATAATTTTCCTTTAAGATGCATGGATATCCCAAAATTAAGTTATTTTTGATGAACTTAATAATATTAAAATAAGGCGACATCAGAAGAAAACCTAAAGTTCTGGTTTACGGTTTAATTTGTTTGCTTCCAGTCAGGATGTAAAATATTTTCTGTTCCTCTAGTGCAACACCTAGTGAGGCAAAATTTTCCTTCTCTGCACATTACCACTAATTGATCTTCATATGCCTGGAAAACGATTTTCCATCGTAATAGATGATCTGACAGAATTTCTCTGGGAGACTGTATAGAAAGAAATAACGGAAAAGCAAAACCTCGTACTGTACGTAAGATTAGGAGTCTGAGGAGAGAGACTTCTTACATAAATCAAAATTGAATTACGTTTTGTCGTTGCTCTAGGTTATGCGGGGTCGTCCACTCATTTAAGAATAACCTATCTCTCTAAAAACATATACACGGTGGCCCAGGAAAGGTCATAACGCAGCCGCAACCTAAACACCTGTTATTGACAGGAAATTTGCATGATGTCTCGTGTAATACGGTCTTGAAAATTTTCCGGAGTACCGCCTGAGCGTTCAGTCTAAAACACTACGTATTGAATTTCTGGGTTACAAGCCTGGAATTCCGGATAGCAAGACGATGCCAGAATCGTTTCCCAGGAATTTCAGGCATGTGACCCGGAAATTCTATTCTTTCGCTTTTTGTCTGGGAGGTTCTGGCAAAGTGCCTGAAAATTTTCAAGGATACACTTGCAGGGAGTTTGAAAAAGTCTTCAATGCACTTGCCTGCCAGGAATAATGTGATTCACCCTTATTCGAACTATGGCAATGGCTTATTGACTATGCATCTGCCACTCAGCCTAAGGTAGAACAGAACGACTGGGGAAGCTGTTACGCCCGTTCATTTGACAGTGCAGATAAGAAGCCGTTACTCTGGCGTGGAATATAAATCCACGAAAATATTGAAGAAACCACTTATGTTGCATGTGGCTTCTTTAAATTTCCAACCGATTCCTCGCATGGTGCTCCGTCCGGAAACGTTTATAGCTTTCGCAGTTGATGGTTTTGGTTCCCTACAATTTTATCGGAAATGTATCTATCTACTGCCTCTTTCTCAGTCACTTCACGGATAGAGCTGGAACACGTCTTCACCCCACCCATTTCATCCTCGAGCAGTATCAAAGTCATATCGCAACTCAAGCCTCACTTGAGACTTACGCAACTTGAATCGGTTCCCTCTCGTCTTGCTGGTAACATCCGGTTTGGGAAAACTGATGATACTCCCTATTGATGTTGAATGCCTAATTGAGATCTTACTAACAGGGGAACTGGGCTCGAATCAGTGGCCTAGCGAGGGAGGGATGGCTGGCGGGGGCTTCAGCCCCCCCCCCCCCTCCCAAGTTTTGTTCAAGCACCCCCTAATTCAGGTCAAATTGCTCCCCCCCCCCCCCCCCAGGGCGAGAAGAGTAAGTCCCCCTACCGTTCCGCTTAGCCCCCCTATTATTGGCGAAACCCTGGCTACGCCACTGGCTCGAATGCGCAATGACGCAGTTCGTTCTCCAATACCCCCCCACCTTCCCACTGCACACATCATTTCTGCAGCTACTCTCTAAACGCACTCCAGTGCCATATTATCTTCAGATATCTGAAATGGAACAAAATGATATAAATGGTTTCTGAGTGCTAAGTGTTAATAATAAAACCCTTCTGTTATTAGAAATGAAACTGCGAATGAAACCTAAAACCCTAAAGCAACTTCTGTCACCTGCTCGCGTTTCCATAGGAACTTCGATATCTCCAAGTTCTCCTAAATCTCTCCTCTCCCTCGCCAAGTGCGTTCATACTCATCACCATTTTAAAAAATAGTTTTAAAGATATGATTCTGTTCCAAAAGTTAAGTGAAGTGGACAGGTGAGATGATTATCTGCCGAGGTTGTAGACTGCTTTGCTCGCTCATTTCTCACCATATATTTTGTTTTCCCCTAGGAATTACGAAGGAAAACGACAATTCTTCATGCAGAACAATTGGATAGTCAATGACCTCCCAGAGGGGGTCTTTGGGAACGTATCCTTCGACAACATATACATCCAGAACACCAACCTGGTCACCGTAGATCCCACTGCATTGCTCTCGTCCAAGGATCGACTTGATCAACTGACGATTTCGCAGAGCCGCCTAGTCGATTTCCCCTTCAACGTCCTTCCTCAAATGAGCCGTCTGAGAACATTGGACCTGGCGTATAATGCCTTGGCGTCAGTTCCAGCCATTGGAAGCTCCGTTCTCGAAAACCTGCGTCTTTGGAACAACCAAATAAACACACTTGAATCTGGATGGTCTCTGCCCAACTTGAAGATACTGGACATCAGTGAGAGCGATCATGCATAAATTGAATGAAATCTTTTAGTAGCCTTCTTTCTCGAATCGCTCCCTTAACGCGTTTTCCCTCGTTGACACGTACATTCAAGTAACAGGTCTAATACTCAAAGGGGAGACAGTTTTGAGTTGGTATGAATGCGCGTTTATTGTTCAATAATGTCAATTCATCGTGACATTTATTGAAGAATTTAATTCACCTTGAGTTCCATTCGTCTCCTTTTTTTTATTATAAGTCTCTCTTTGTCAAAAGAAAAAGTGAATTGAGGAAGAATTGAGCAATAGAGTGCTCTCTAGTCAGTTTTAGCCCTTTTATGATAGTTTAAGCCAGATCTTAATATTTGGTGGCAAAAATAAATGTTATTGGAACATTCATCCTTCTTCCCCTGCAGGTTACAATCCGATCTCCGAACTTCCTCCTGGACTGTTTGAGAACATGACGAATTTGACGAATGTCGATGCCTCCCATTGCAATCTGGGACCGATTTTGTCCAACGGTTCCTTGTCATTCCAGAGCGAAGTCTTGACTGAAGTTGACCTCCAGCAGAACAACATTGTCAGATTGGAACCAGGAGCCATTGCAGGTTAGATCTTCGATCCCTGTGCATTCTGCTCTAAGGCGGCATACAGATAACTCACTGTGAGTTGATTAGACTTTTGGCTTAGAATGTCGACTTCTGCACATTTTTCCCATTTTTGAGATTTGTTCGAATGTAAATTTGACTCGTAAAAGAGTACGTTTGACTCACGGCGTTGAGGGTATCTTTCTGCGAGGTTCTGCCTTGCTTAGATATTAGTCAGTACGATTCCTCAGTGAAACAGGCTGGACTCGTGAATCCTCTCCGTCCTTTTTGTCGACGTTATGCACTCTCCTAATGGAATAGCTGTCGCCCAGTAGGGTTTCTTTGATTAAATATGGCTTGATGCTGAGCAGCTCAGTGAGATGGAGAAAAATGGAAAATGAAATACATGAAAGTAACCTGGTCCGCTCGAGTTAATTTTGATGCGTCTTTTGAAAATTTGAATGAAAAATATGTAATTTGGTTATAAGAATCAAATCTAACATACTTGGCATCGTGTCGGTGAAGAGGAAACGTTTGGGAAGTGATGCGAGCGATACGTTATTTCTTGTCATGAAGGTGTCCCTATACATCACAGGGGAAAATAAGCATGTTCTGAAGCAATTCAAACCGCGGTTTCCATTTCAGGTCTCACAGGTGATACATGGGTGTATCTTAGCGACAACAATATCACAGACTTGACGGAAGACTCCTTCCTGCCCATACTTGAGGCAATTTCCGAAGGGGGAGATGGGCAGCTTATTCTTCAGGGTGAGTCCCAGTTGTCCGCTATACTTGCAATCCCATTCACGCTGTCTCGTCCTTCTTGAAAGATTGCGACCTTTTCTCTTTGTCTCTCCGTATTACAGGGAACCCAATCCAGTGTGATCCCTGGCTCGTACTCCATCCGGACTCCGCGAAGTTCATGCACAGGCTACAGGGGATAGATTGCGGGTTAGAAATTTTTAAACTTCTCTCCAGAATAATCCTGAAGTTTCCGCGGCTAAAGATGTTTTGTTCGAGAATTTCTATCGAGTGCACAGATGAACTCATGAGATTAGGTTCATTCTACCTCAGAGACCCTTTCCATTGATGTAATCTTGGTTTGGGTTTCCAGAAGGGCTTTCAAGGGACCGTTGAAAGAGTATTTCAGACCTTAAGCCAATTTCAAGAAAATCGCCTTCTGGGAAGAACTTAGCAAACTATATGAAAGGATTAAAATATACGAACAGAAATGGGATTTGACTCCTACAGCTAATTCCTAGTGAGGGGAGGGGGGGGGGCAAAAGTCGCAAAAAGACCAGTTAAAATTGCATACTACGTAGTTGTTCTCCCTAACGGCAAGCAAACTCGAAATAGTCTCATCTTCGGCGCTCGACGATGCAATACCGGGTGTCCCAAAATAACCATTCCGAACTTTATACGCCTGCAGACGGTGTATCATATGGGTTATCGACAGGAAATTTACAGGCTTTTGCGAGCAATGTTTGCAAGTAAGGTAACAAAAATTTCAGTGAAATTGGTTGTAAACTACGTGAGTAAAAAATTTTCTCCCGCGCCATGTTAGTGAGCGAGTGTATAAAGGAACGCGCCTGAACTCAATAAAAGAACTGCTTGATGGGTCCTCCATGGATGTTTACTCCTTGGATCGCGGACCGAAGCAGCACGCCAGCAAACGCGCTGACACATTCTCATTCGGCGACTTGTTCGGAAAGAGCTCTTACTCATGTTCAGAATAAGTAATTTCATTGAAATTTTCTTAAAGCCGCCTACCGATATTGGGTATGACTCACTGAAAATTTCAAGACGATGCTTAGCATGGTGTCCCGTCTGCAGCCGCACGAAGTTTGTAACTCTTTTGGGGCTACCTAGTATAATGATTAGTTCACCTTAAACCGAAGTTTCGCCGCTAGCACCTTCCAAAGTGGGGAATCTCCACGCATTTTAGGATTTTTTTCGTCGTGGCATTAAGATATGCCTCGGATTATATGATGTCTTTACCATATATATTGTTATGTTACAATACACGTTTGTCATTAAAATAAGGGAAAGGGCACGTGGGAGAATATTTGTCACCTGAAAAATGTGAATGATCGAATTTTAAGTAATACAAATGGAAAGTTTAAACTCGATGGTTCTGCTGTTGGGAAACTAATAGAGAGAAAGTGGAATTTTTAAAATTTAAATCAAGGCATTGTTTCGCTTTTGCTTTACATGGTACAGGGTGGGCCACTTAATAGTAGCCCGCCTCCTATAATACTGCGACAGTAGAAACGAGCAAGTGGATTGTTTTTCACCACCTTCGACCACCTCCGCCACGCTCGGACCAGAGGCGGGTTACTTTTAAGTGGCCCATCCTGTAGTAAAAGTATAAAACACCATACTCTGTCTAGCGGAATGCACCTTAGTGTTTGGAGCGCGTTTCATGTTATACTATATCTGTGCAATTATTTTTCAATTGTGGTTAATTGGTTGAATACATTAGATACGCTGTAATGGTCTAGTTAATTTAATATCCAAAATCAGCATGGAATACATTAAAATAGAGAACTTGGAGTCACTTGAGGCTAACCCTACATTTTTCACCTTCCCTTGGTAAGCCTCATGCTTAATTCAGTCGGTTTGAATAATCACAGTCTGCAATCCTTTTTTTTTCCATGGCTGCCTTTAGTTAGCAAGACAATTGAGGAAGAAAATGAACCCTCTATTCATTCTCCTACTTCCCTTTATCTTCCATAGGTCTTGCTCAAATCCAAATGCAAATTCTTCCTGCTCCTGCATCTTCGATGACATCTCCGGTGAGGTTACTGTGGACTGTTCGCAAGCAAGTAGTGGCGAAGAGATCTTCTTGGCTTTCAATAATTACATCTGGCTCTCCACTCTGCTCGCGTAAGTGATGGCATTCAGCATCTCTATACTTTTTGCAGTGGTCGTTATACATTGAGATGGCATGATTGTTATTTTCTTGGTACATTGATCAGTCATTTGGGTGTGGAGTTGCTGTGAGCTCTTAGGCGCGGGGGTTTGCACACGTCCTAAGTAACGAGACTCATCGCAAAATCCTCTTAGAACTTGAACGATATTCTTCCTGTCAGATATTCCACTTCATGTTCTTCGTGATATTAATGAGCAAGTGGCACTAATATGATGAATATTTAACGAGAATACGAAGTTGATACATGCGTGAATACGACTAAGGTCATCTTTATTGGGAAGAAATTTTTGCTGCCTGATTTTGTCTGCATATCTATTGAATTGTTTGGAGCTGGAGTCATACTGTATTGATTCTCTAGCGGAGGCAAAGTGAAATAGTGGAAGGTGACGTGGTCACCTCCCGTTACACCTCCTCTTGCATCCAGGCCGGAACGCCAGGTGAATAGGTAGTGGATTTGGAACTAGGTGGAACCCCCTTCCAGCGGACAGGTTTTCTCCAAAAGGGACATCCACCGTGTTCCAAATCCATCTGGGGAGGATGTTTTGAGAGGACGTATACGGTTATGGTAGACTGCTTCCTCCCTCTATTTTCTGTGACTGGAATTTTTCCCCTCCTCTCTCCAGCAACTACGGTGGACAACGGAGGTTCTTGATGACGGAAAATAGGGCAGTGGAGGAGCTCGCAGCAGGAGTTTTCGGGAATGTCACCTTCGACCACATATTCATTTGGGACACCAACTTGGTCACCGTTGATTCTTCGGCGGTGCTTTCGTCCAAGGATCGACTCGAACAGCTTACGATTGCCAACAGCCTCCTTGGAGATTTCCCGTTTCAGATCCTTCCTCTGATGATCCAGTTGAGAGGACTCCAACTCGATTCGAATTTGTTGAAGTCAGTGCCAGCCCTCAAAAGCCAAAGTCTCCAGAATCTGAGTCTTTCTTTCAATCAAATAGAGACACTCGAATCCGGCTGGTCCATGCCCAACTTGGAGATACTGAACCTCAGTGAGTATAACCATACATGCAATGCGAAGATGAGTCTTTGGCTCAACTTTTAAAATTATTCTGTTCATGCTCTTCCTCTCTCTAGAATGTACCGATTGTACAGATTCTTACACCGCGTGTACTAATTGAGGACTTTTCTGACTTTTCGTTCAAACCCATTCGTATTCCTCCTCATCGCTTAATTTTTGCATGCTCGTTCAATATATCTGGAACCGAATGTTGTCGTGTTCATATTGGTATACTACCATCTAATTCAACGAATCGAGTCCCCCCATAGGGTTTTTAGAGCGAGAAAGGAAAAAGGCCGCCAAGAAATAACATTGTCTGCATATCTGTCGCCATGTACTCATATACTCATGAAATTCATTCCTTGTTTGTTACAGGTTACAATCCGATATCGCAGTTTCCATCCCGACTGGTCGATGGCATGGTGAAGCTGAATTTATTTTCTGCGTCTGGCTGCAATGTGGGGCCGACTTTGTCAAGTGGATCCCTGTCGTTCCATAGTAACGCCTTGCAATTGGTATCCCTCGGAGGCAATAATATCGCGAGACTGGAAGCTGGAGCTATCACAGGTGAGATCACCGGTTGTCCAAGCTCAGCTGATTTTAATAGTTAGAGCTTTGAAACTGGCGCCAATATTGGAAGAGATGGTGGGAAAAAGAACAGAAGCTTCTTCCAAAAGGATATTCATTATAGGTTAATGGATAATAACATTTTTAGGTGAACGGGAAAATATTTATTAGTTTAGAGATCCATGAAATGCAAAAACTCTGTTGATGTACTCAAAAGCAACACCCAAGAACGTAGGAGGTAAAGCGTGTGAGCATGGCAGAGATCACTCACAGTGACGCGACTCGCTCCGTGATGTCACACCGCTTGCCTTGTGGGCTCCGACGCGCGATTCGAGAAACTGCTTTTCCCAAGGGATGTCAACTTGAACGGGCAACATTTTTCCAAAATGGATAAATGGTGAGGTTGATTGCGCTTGAAGAGATGATGATAGATGGCACACCGCTTCGCTTATACTGGTCTCAGTGGTGTTAGCCCGAATAGCATGACATGCGGATCCCCGTCGGCTGTACGTTCTCGGAAGAATATTAGTCGTAAGAATTGCATGCGTCGACGTCAGAAAGCATATTGGAGCGTTCTCTCCCCAAGAATTCATTATTTTTTGTTCTCCCTTTTTCTACACGCGTGACACCGTAACACCGTAACAGGACCGGCTTTAAAGAGGCGAATGTGCTCGTCGAAGTCCTACTATCGATTTCAGGAGCATATGGCAAGGCTTTGAGGGACACAGACAAGCAAGAGCGTTTCTAGTATTGTCGCCATTAAAGAATCATTCCTCGTTGCCACGGTTTGAATTCGATTTCCTTTCTGCACATTTGATGGCGAGAGCTGAATACTCAAATCTCCCCTGAAGTCATTCAATGATATGCTTGGGTGAGGTAGCATGTCCGTATCCTGCCGAAGTCGGGGAATGCTTACACACGCTATATCTAGTTTCTTGTAAAAAAAAAAATATATATATGCATTTCTGAAGCGGATTTTCCCTCTTTATTCCGTGTTTATTATTTTACTCTTAATTCCGCATACACGAAATATAGAAATGGGTCAAACTGTAGCTCGCATCTCACCCAGAACTTTTTCGAAGCAACTTGTTCATTACTGAAGAACCGAGAGTTTTCGCTTAAGGGCAAAGCCTATCTAACGACTAGGCTATTGGGAGATATTGAAAACCTGGTAAGACTGAATGCAAAATGTACATCCATTCAAACTTTTATGTTCGCATGTGAATTAAGACTTCATGTCTTCATGGAAGACGTCGCTCTCTAAAGAGTAATCGGTCGCGTTTTTTTTCCTATATGCCGTGATACAATGTGACGGCAGTAATTAATAGGCTCTCGAAGAGAATCGTGACGGCTGGAGAACGAAAGTGTCCATAATTCTCTCTTGTGGGGTCAGTCATTTTATATGCGAGTAATAATCGTCGCTTCCCGTTGCGTCACTTTCTATCGCCTCGTCTCCTTTGGCTTAAGGCCAAATATATGTTGTACAGAAATGTGTATGTCATCGAAAGCGTTGTACCTTTCAGGTCTTGGGGTCGATACGACTTTTCTTCTGCACGAGAACGATATCAAGGTGTTGACTGAAGACTCATTTGAACCCATTTTTGAGACCCTCTCTCTCGGCAATGGGAAAATCCTCTTACTGGGTGAGTTTTACGACTTTTCATCGCAGTCATGGTCTTCGTTATCTCCACCCGTTATCGTCACTCTTCGTTATCTCCACCCGCTTCTCCCTCAGGAAACCCCATCCAGTGCGACACTGGCATGTCCTGGCTCTTGCTCCACCCAAACGCCGCGATGATCCTCAAGAATGTGACGGACAACCTGGAATGCGCGAAAGGGACTTCGCTCTTGGACCTCCTCCTCCTTCGCTTTCTTAATAATGTCCTTCCGTTCCAGTGGGTGAATTCCGTGGCTTGAGGGCTTCTTTTCTTCTCGCTTTGTGGGTGTGAAGAGTGAACCGCCAAATCTCTGTCAACCTCCACCGTTTTGACATCATTGCACATTTTATAGAGCAAAGGAAATGAATATGAAGATGGCTGTCACAAAGGGAGCGTTGAGTGCTGCTTCGCTGTTGGGCTATTTTCCTCTTTAATTTTTATTGGGAACAAATAATGCCATCAAATCATGGTTGTATTCCCTTCCCTGGAACCTCATGTAAAAGGATAATGGCATGTGGCGGTAAAATAGAATAAACTCCTTCGCTTCATTGCATCACAACATATGACTACCAACAATTTCGCACCAAATCGATTACAGCGCAAATAGCAGGACCAAGTATGGGCATTCATTCGAGTGTGGGAACCATACCCATATTCCACATGTTTAGGTTTTAAGGGTGGACACTTCACTTTCCCCACACCGCCCAGATTCTCAGACATCAAATTGTCCGCGAATTCGGAGTGATAAAATGAAGATTTCTCGCCTTTTTGGCTTTAACCTACTGAAACAGATTTTTTAAATATCCATGGGATTTTGGCACGTAACTCTTATGACGTAAACTCTCCATAACTCGCACTCCCATAAATAATCGCAATCAACAAAATGTTGAATGCATGTTTTGAGGCGTGATCATGAGATTTAGAGTTGCAAGTGTTTATAGATGCGGCAAGTACTGGCATGTATTGACTAGAGCTGCAAAAAAATGGTTTACCATGGTTAAAGTTGCTCGATCCGGTAGGCGAACGGACAATTGAAGGGTTAAAGCGGAACTCATTACTTCTCGAGGATCTTTAGCGGTGAAGTTCAGCTAGCCATGGCATGGGACGCGCATTTTTTCTATGAAAAGGTCGAGGTGTCCAGCGTCCTAAAGGTCATGATGCTAGCCACAGTTCTTTCAAGTGTCGGCTTGTTTTCCGCTCTCCAAGTCCCCCATTAAAAAGTGGGACATTGCTTCCTTGGCTTTTACAAGGCCTTCCGTGCAAGAAAGAGCAAGAACGGCGGATGAGACCCGAGCATTAAAAGAAAGAAATCGATGCGTGAAAATTGGTCGTCAGCACTGCGCCCTGCCCTACTTCCGAAGCAACTCCTACTTCTAAACGCATTCGTTCCTGTAATATTCGAAAAGGTTGGAAATTTACAGGTTAATTTGGTCGCAATGTAATTTTATCAAAATGGAATCCCAGCTCAGAGGAAACCTTGAAAACGCTGTGGACGTGATGAATTAGAAAAGAGGGCTGTCATCTGTCTAATAAATTGTGGGTCCTCCTATTAACGGGCTTTTCCTCTTCATATTCAAAATCAGTATTTGACTTAATAAGGGATATTTCACACCTTACTCGGAAATTTGATTTTCATGAGGAACTGAGATTGGGTTTTCGGACTTAAGATATTTTAGTTTTTTTTTTATAACGTTCTTTAGCCAAAAAGATTTCATCATTCCAATTTGAATCTCAAATTTCCCGGAGTCAGAATTTTTTTCAGGGGGAGTTGATCTCCGTTTGCTCCTTTCTTCCGGGATTTCGAAGCGAGAGAGCAGCCATGTATTACATGCAATTAATTTAAATACCGTTTTCTAGAGCGTTGACGCAAGAAAGGACGTAACCTGCTCGGGAAAATATATAAATCAATCAGCAAAAAATACAGAAGAACGAGCGCAGACATTTCTTTGGCACCGACGATATTAGGAATCTTGTGAGACCATATACTGTAAGACAGAAAAGTCGAGTTCTGACGAATCAAATGCAAAGACACGAAGGATTTGAAACCTCCGATCCCATTTCCGAGCATGGATTCTTTCGTCAGACTCGGTTTCTCCATTCACTCGTGAAACCGATCATCTTCATTGTCAGATAAGTTTTGGTGCCACCTCGGACCCAGTTGAAAGAAAAACTGAAAGCATGCTAACGGTTGAATGACCGGTTGAGCGGTTGAATGACCGGTTGAGCGGTTGAATGACCGGTTGAGCGGTTGAATGACCGGTTGAGCGGTTGAATGACCGCTCGACCTCGCTCGACTTTGAATGTGGACATCGGCAAAAATGAGCATAATCTCAATTGGAAGCCTGAACCTTGAAAATACGATCGGAAAATTAAATGTGATGATCGCAATTAAATAATGACTTCAAGAGAGCGGACAGAATACACTCCTCTTTTTTGGATCGCATTGTGCATTGGATTGCAACCGTTGCCATTGCGGAAGAGCTTCGGAAATTCACTCCTGAAAAACGAATAGGGTTCCGTTCTCAAACCGAAAAGGAAAGGAGAACTTTTATAGCGATTTTGGGGCAGGGAACGGTGGCGACATGTGGAGCAAATAGTTCTCGTTGTCAATGGAAATTCCATGGAAATGCACACGAGTGCTCGCAGGACCGAGGAGTGGCGGTCACCGTAGTTACACATCGATTCATTACTATCGCGCCGCGATCGATGGCGTCAGACGTCGCGTGAGAAGAAAATGAGTCGACACAGTATTCGATGACTCACGGGTTTCCATTCCACGGAAGCCGCAAGGAAGATGAGGAGGTTCGGGTCCTGTGACCTCGTCGCTTCCCGATTCTTGGCTTTCCTCCCCTTTCTCACCCTTTCCTCCGGATCCACCGGCGAGTCCCTCTGCCCCGCTCCCGATCCCATTTCCCCCTGCACTTGCGAATCGAATGGAATCGTGGACTGTTCGAGAGCAAACACCAGTGAGGAGATCTCCTCGGCCTTCGGAAACGTCACCTGGCCCTCCACTCGGCTATCGTGAGTGAATTTCCTCTCATGCATTCTCTCTCCGCAATAGCGATGAAGTTACAGAGACGAGATTGGGAAGGTTACATAACTTTCCCTGAATCCTTTCGCCATGCAGCCATGGCCCTGAGTCACAGGGGATCGATAATTCAAATGCAGTCCCGACGACAAAGGCCTTTCGAGTCAACGATGAGCTCATCCCGCGTCGGCCCATTATCGAAAAAATACCTGATTGAGATCGCAGGATTAAATTCACCCCGGAAGTGAGATCCGGTTTAAGTTGTCGAATTACCTTTAGGTAATTACTCACCGTCGACTCGAGTCGACGCGGCACGACATGTCACAGTTGCGCCAAGCAACCCCAGATATATATCAATATTAGCAGCGTAGAACGAATGAGTTTCCCTCCGAAATTCACGATTTCGTCCTCTGATCCGAGTCTTCACAATGTGAAAGGATTTCATGCCGTTTGGTAATGTACGTGTCTCTGCTTTCAACTTTGAGTAGAGGGCCTGACAGAAAAATTGCCAAAAAATACTGAATCTAAATTCGATACCTGAATTTAGGAACATGCGAACGCAGTTGAGTCTCGTTGCCTCATAAAGATCCATATTTTGAATGCGCTAGCTGCGTGAATAGAGCTGAGCAATTAATCCCAACCCGTTTTACCAAGATAATTTGTCAGATTTTTACGAGGGGAAATGGCCGCTTCTAAACTTCACGAGCTTGGATTCCTTAGGAGATCATCTAAGCATGCACCCACCCGCAATCAATATTAATAATTCCATTGAGTAGATGCTTGTTACTTTTGATCATGTGAAATTATTTCGTGGCGAGAAAGATTATTATGGAATAAAGGGGGTCCACCCCCATGCAACTATTTACACGCAAATGAGGCAAATCAACGCATGGCCGCTGAGGAAACGAAACGCCCCATCAACAACTAAAAATGTAATCTTTAAATTTAATTTCATTTTATTCTATTTTATTATCTTTCATTACAGGGTATTCAGGCTGATGAACAATGAGGGAGTGAAGTGCTTACCAGAAGGAATTTTTGGGAATGTCTCATTCCAAGAAATTCACGTCCTGCGTACCGGCTTGGTCACCGTGGATCCCTCGGCATTGCTTACATCCAAGGACCGCCTCGAATACCTGTCGATCTCCAACAGCCTCCTGGAAGAGTTCCCGTTCCACATCCTCCCTCGGATGACCCACCTGGCAACGCTGCGCCTCGCCTCGAACGCCTTGAGGCGCGTGCCGGCCCTCGCAAGCTCCAGTCTCAGGGATGTCATGCTCTTCGGCAATCGGATAGACGCGCTCGAACCGGGATGGTCCACGCCAGGCTTGGAGAGTCTAGACATAAGTGAGCACGATAACTGACATACCGCATTTTTCGATTTTCCATGTATACTTCGGAGCATTCCTATGCCCCAGGGAGCTTATAGCTGGTTGACATCCTTCGGAGTTTAAATCGGTTGCTTTCATTCGAGGATGCTTCATTCGTATGAAATGAGCAAAAGTCGGAAAGCGAAAGTGATTGTGACGTCTTTTCATTTTTCCATTGCAGGTTACAACCCCGTCTACAAGCTCATCCCTGGACTCTTCGAGGGCATGCCGAATTTTAAATCCTTTTTGGCGTCTGCCTGCAATCTGGGACCGGTTTTGCTCAACGGAACATTAGCATTCCACAGCGATGCCTTGATTGCAGTGTTCCTCCAAGACAACAACATCGAGAGATTGGAACCAGGAGCAATTACAGGTTAAAAATAATATCCTAGCTCACTCTCTACAATTAAATATTGGAAAAAAACTTGCGGTACTAAGAATTTCGCTCGCCTCGATAGGACAGTGTGCAATGCGTAAACTAGGAAATACCGGATCCTAGGAGAACGAATATTGAAGAGAAAGGCTTTGAAAAAGTCTCAAGTTGTTTACATTTCCTGCTTTCATTAATAGTGGGAAAAGTAAATGTCTTCTTCATTTCAGCGGTTCACTCACATGGGACCCGAAAAAAAATTTATTTCGAAAGCCGACATTGGTATGCAGCCCCTCCGTTTCTCTCGTACGATTCGCGCCGGCTGACACATTGCTCGGCCTCATCTTGAGCAAATGTATCCACGCTGTCCTCACGTGTCCAAGTTCACATTTATGTGTCCGCGTTTCCTTGAGAAACACCATTTCGAGCATGATAGGCTAGATCAGGGGTCGGGAACCTTTTTAGCCATGTGAGCCAAATTAAGATAGAGCTAAGTGCTTGTGAGCGAAAGATTTTCAGAATATTTTTTTTTTACTGAAGTTGGCAACAGACGTACGCATTCTTTGATACATGAGAAAAATGAAGTGCAACATGATTTTCATTCATGACTCAATCAGCCAAACTTTTCGGTTAGTGAGCCAAATTTGGCTCAGAGCCATAGGTTCCCGACCCCTGGGCTAGATCATAGAAAAGTATTTAAAAAAAAAATGAAAATTAACTGTTCGCCTTGCAAACGCTAACGAGTGCAGTTCGGGATTCCGTTTAGGTCTGTTTCTCGTCACATGTTTTTTTTTTTTCGTTATTCGTATGAAAATTCGATTGATACTTTGCTAGCTTTTCATGCCAGTAGCATGATACTTCAATGCCACCATCTACATAGAAGGTGTCGTCATTCCAAGATATCGACTGCAATCATAAGCCTGAATAAATCAGGAAATATCTGTTGCAGTAATATCAACGAGATCATTTTCAGTTTTCGCACGGGTACTTGGTCTTCGAAAATATCATACCGAAGCACTTTCATGGCTCTAACCCTGTATCCTCCATTACTTCTTCATCGTTTCAGAGGATTTCCATTGCAGGTCTCAACGGGAACGTCCAGATTTTCCTAGACGGAAACAAAATCACGGATGTGACGGACGGCTCATTCCGTTCTATCCTCGAGGTCCTCGCCTCAGGAGAAGACGGAGCGATCATCCTGTGGAGTGAGTTCCGTTCCTTCGCCGATCGCTTTCGTCTGTCTCGCTTGGTGCAGCTTCGGGGCGGTCTCCTCTCTTCTTGCAGGGAACCCGATCAAATGCGATTCCTGGATCAGGCTCGATCCTGACTTCACGTGGATTTTTCCAAGACTATCTTGGGAGGAGTGCCTGTATGGAATTTTGAGATATAGTCTTTTATGGACATATTCAGATTTCCAAGAAATAATTTTTAAGAAACTTAGTTCATGTGTAACATCAGACCAGGCTGACTTAGCTCAGACTTGGCAAACTTCTTCACATAATATGAACTTATTTTAATAGCTCATAAAGAGTCATTTGTGTCTCTATTGTTGTCATGAGGTAAATTTTACCGGGAAAGCATTAATGCACAGGAATGACGCAAGTAGCACCTAGCATTGACTCAACATTGACTCAATGTTGATTCAACATCCGGACGTTGAACCAACTTTGTATCAATGTTGAATCAATGTTATATGCTCTTAGAGGAGTTGAAATTAATTAGGATGGTCGGGTCTTTTTTAAACTACAGATTTGAATTAGAAACTCAAAGAATTTGTAGAGACTCATGAGATGTGCTTACCATCAACGCAAGTAAATTTCGGAATCATGACATCTGGTTTATGCCACTAGTTCTGTTGATTACAACTGCTTTGGTCAAGGTTTGTAATGACGTTAAAATTAGTTAAATGACATGATAAAGTAATGCAAAAAAAGAAATAAAGAGAAATTATGTGAGCTTTTGCGGTGCGGTTTGGTTATGTGAATTAATTTTTGTAAGTGTCAAATTATAAATTTCCCTTGCGTTGGGATTAAGTCAATATCCTAAGAGGACATACCTTCTGCTTCCTCCTTCGCTCAGCAAAACGGCTTATTGCTACCTTCTCTCTTCGAATCCTTTCCGCTGGTTGGAAATTTTCTGAACTCGATCTATATATCAATACTTCGGGTGTCCGGAAATAAATGAGAATCGTTTGCGCAGAAAGCCTCCACGCCTTCGTGGGAAAAAATGTCCCTGATGTGCTTGGCACAGATGATGCGAGCCGCTTTGTTGTCCTCGGTTAATCGGTGCGGTACCGAGATTGATGCCATGTTGCGCAGTTGCAGGTCTTGTGTGAGCACCTCGTGGACAGTACTCTTCCCAACGTCGAGTCCCTCATCCAGCTCTCGAGTAGTCACTAGCCAGTCTTCATCCACCAGCTCTCGCAACGTCTCGACAAGCTCTGGTGTCTGGGTGGACCTTGGACGGCTACTGTGGGCTGGTCGAGAAAGGAAGGCTCTTCCTCCTTTTCAGCTGCTTCTCTGAAGTTGCCGAACCACCGAAAGACACTAGACTTGACATACACAGGGACCAGTTCCCTGTAACAGGCAGCGGCCGCAATGCCAAGTGTGAACCACGTGAACGCGTAGAAGCGAAAGTTCTCAGCGCTTGTAGCCATATTCAAATTGTTAAAAACAGCCCACGTTGCACTGATCTTATAGAGCTGTATTTTGAGGTCTGCTCTGAAAGCACTTCTCAACAGATTCACTTGAAAATTGGCAATCACAGACTACATATTGATCTAAATGTCTGAGCAGTGAGAATTGCATTGCTTGTAGAGTTACAAATTTACAAATGATTCTCCTTACTTTCCGGACACCCGAAGTACAGTAAATAAAACGATAAATTATTCTATTGTACAGTTCTAGTTTTTTTTAGTGTACTAGGCCCGATGAGATGTCACAATATTGTGAAATAATAGGTGAACCCATTCATTTACAGTACACGAATTTCAGACAATTATCCCATTCAGTCCAGCTTTCAATTAATTGCCTAACCATTCTCGTTTGCTGCGTCTCCCTTAGGCTCTGCCCCGACCAAAATGCAATTTCACCCTGCACCTGCTCATCGGATGAAACCTTCACTGTGACCATGGACTGTTCGCATGCGAATAGTAGTGAGATATACTCGGCATTCAATGATGTCCCTTCGTTCTCCGCAGTTCTTGCGTGAGTGAGCGCTCTCCTTTTACTATATAACCGTAGTGATAGAAATGACACGAAGTGTTACTGAATATATTGGGTTCGGGGGAGTTGTAGCACACCAGGCCGATTGTAAGGTCTTGGTTCGGTACCTGTTGTTCCCTCTTGTTAATTTTTCCTTTCATGGCATCCAATTCTTCCCACTAGTTGTCATTGACAATTAGTTGTATGACAATAAAACTAATTACTCTTCGCTGATGTCGTTGCACACATGCTGAAACTTCATGGGAAAATGCTTCTCGAAAGGAAGTGAATACTCTTCAGGGGGAAAATATCGCACACCTGACATTGCCATTTCTGAAATTAACGAATACATGTTTATTTAAAGCACCATAGGGAGTGATACGACATGAATAAAAAAAGCAAATTCGCATTCCTCAAACGCTCATTAACGTCATGTAATTAAGCTAATGTCTCTCAATTTTCTGCCCATCCTCATCCCATGCATGCCATCTCGTGTCTGGAATACATTATTTCTATCACGCCAGAAGTATTATTCTCAGATTGCTTTGGAAAAGGTGAAGAAAGGCATTGGGAAAGTGGACTGGTCGTACAGCATCCAGGACGGGGAATCCTTGACGGTACAAACTTTGAGTTCCTCCGATGCATCATATAAGAAGCTCCTGCCACAGAAATGAATGAGGAAGTAAAGATGCCATTGAAAGTTCATCGTTAATTTCAACCCATGTCGGGCTAAAATGTAAATTTCCAAATTCAGGAGAGCTTTCTATTTTTAAGGGAATCTCAGAAAATCACCAGAAGGAATCGAACAATGGAAAGTCTCTTTCCTTGAAAATGGCACACCGATCAAGACACTGTGAGACAAAAGCGACATCCTGTTCTCATCAGAGAAACAAATCATCCTGCTGGGTTGGGCCATGGTGTTTACATTGACTCCTTCGAGGAGGACACGCACCTACAAGTCCATTATCAGAAAAGAAGGGAGCATGTGAAGACCCCAGTGTTTCATGAGCCTTGACTATTTGCAGGATCAGCATTGGGCCATTGACTTGATCGTGCACAAGGTGCATGAAAAAGGAAAGAATGTTTATTTACTCAGAGGACAAGTAACGCCAATGCTGGATTAGCTACATAATGCATGCGATGTCTGTTTGCCTGTGCTTTCGTTTGTCAGCCTGTCTGTCTGTGTCCGGTCCTTCTGGTCTGCGCTGGACAATTTTTCCCATTCCGACCCATTCTCTGTTGAGCAATGACATCTGCCAAGGCGAAGCATTTCTTATGGGGTTTATTAGTATACTTGAGATATACCGAGTTCTGCCATAAATACTGTTACAAAAGTTCGTTTACATTTTTATCTGTACCTGTAATGGGATTATTTCTCCCAACCTATGCAGTTTACACAGTACACAATGTAGCTTAAATCGTTGTTAGTTGAAATCCATATTCCGTACTGGAAGGAAATAGAGTGGGGTAACAAAGAGAATAGGATTGCATTCATCGCATTACACAAAGTTACTGGAATATTTGTGTTCCGGACCACAGAAAGGTACAATGAATCTGGTAGAATTGAAGACAACCCAAGATCCGGACGTCCTCGTTCGGTTCGGACCCCTAATGTTATCAAAGCTGTGACTTCCCGAATCCGACGAAATCCTCTTCGGAAGCAAACAATTATGGCCAGGGAAATGGATATTTCAACCCAAATCATGTCCCGCTTTATCAAAGCTGACCTTGGTATGAGTGCTTTCAGAAGTAGTACTGGCCACCGCCGAAGACCAACTCTTCAAAGAATGAGGCACCAGCTATCGAAACTCTTGCTGCAGCGTTTCGCCGGAAATAGGCACAGGAAGATTCTTTTTACGGATGAAAAAAATGTTCACCATTGAAGAAAAGTTAAACAAACAAAATGATAGAGTGTACGCCCACAGCTCTCGAGAGGCATCAGAAGCGGTGAAAAACGTGGAAAGAGGTCATCATCCGGCATCAGTGATGGTTTGATGGGGTGTGAGCTTCGAAGGAGTCACAGAGCTTCATTTTTCGTGAGGCAGGAGTCAAAACCAGTGCCAGAAATGACCATACGGACATTTTGGAAAAAGCGGTGAAGCCCCTCAATCAAACGCTCTTTCGAGGGCAACACTGGATTTTTCAGCAAGATTCGGCTCCTGCCCACAAAGCCAAGTCTTCGCAGGAGTGGTTGGAAAGGAACGTTTCTGCGTTCATCACAGCTTCAGATTGGCCTTCTGGGAGTCTGGATCTCAATCCACTGGACTACAGGCTGTGGTCTGAACTGGAGAGGATGGCCTGCCACAGACAACGTCCTAATTTGGAGAGCCTGAAATAATCTCTGGTCCGAGCAGTCGCAAAATTTTCCAATGGAAAGTATGCGTGCAGCGGTCGATATGTGGCCCCAGAGATTGAGGTATTGTACTCGGACGAAAGGAGTCCATTTTGAGTGACTATAAGTTATCTGTATTCAGCTGTGGGTCTCATATAGAATCAAAATTGTTTTTCCCGTAAAATCAAACATTTTAATAGCTTTTTATCCTTGTAAAAGTATTTATGGCAAGACAAGGTATATATATATATATATTTGGCGTCGTGACTGTCTGTCGAAGGGAAGTACAACCAACTCCCTCGATTTTATACTTGGAATTTTATATTTTTTCAGAAGTCACGAGGGACGAAGAAGATTCAGCATGCGGAATAACTGGGTGGTGAAGGACCTCCGGGAGAGGATCTTCGGGAACATGACCTTCGACGAGATACACATTTGGAACACCAATTTGGTCGCCTTGGATCCGTCGGCCGTGCTCTCGTCGAAGGACCGCCTCGAATCCCTGACGATTTCCCACAGCCTCCTGGAAGAGTTCCCGTTTCGCGTCCTTCCTCGAATGACTCGTCTGAGGACGCTGCATCTCTCGCACGGCTTCTTGAAGTCGGTGCCCGCCTTGGAAAGCCCAAGTCTGAAGAATCTGCTGCTCTGGAACAATGAAATCCATGCACTCGAACCTAGGTGGTCCATGCCGGTCTTGGAGAGACTCGATATCAGTGAGCACGATTTTACTGCAATTGACATAAGTCCTCGATTGGCTTTGATCTCTGGAATCTCTCTTTTCATGCTAACATCTTCTGTTCGGTTGACCCAGTCATACTTCGCAAGATCAAAAGATGGACCGTTCTTTTTGTTTCCATGTTCCATCAGAGAATGTCAACACCTGGAAATCTTCAGAGCATTTGAAAATGCATCTGGAACAGAAAGGACACGATTCGAACATGTTCCCCCTTTCCTCCCACAGGCCACAATCCAATCTCCGATCTCCCTCCCGGAATGGTCGAAGGCATGAGGAACTTGATGTCTTTTGATGCGTCACATTGCAATCTGGGACCGGTTTTACGAAATGGATCTTTGGCGTTCCAGAGCAAATCTTTGGCTAAGATATTTCTCCAAGAAAATGACATCGTCAAACTGGAACCAGGAGCCATCACAGGTCAGATCTGGTATCAATGTTCAGACCGTACCAGGACGCAATTTGTGTGTAAAAAAAAAAAAAGCTTCAGACATTGAGGATTGTCAGGGAAACGCCGTAAATCAATGGACCGCGTAAGAAAAACGATTTTAAGTGGATTACGATTTCATTAAAACGTTAGCTACTATCCTGAATGCCGGCATTTTGTAAACTCTTATATTCGCCTGCTCACCCCTGATATACACATACTAACGGAAAGACCTATTGGCCTTGGACTCACAGGCAGCAAAATAAAAATCTTGCTTTTGCGTTTTTGACAGGCGTAGTTTTCCGTAGATCGTGTGGCTACCGGTTGAATTTTTCAGTCGTTTGGCACGGGAGATCTTGTTCCTCGTCGCGTAAGCTCGTATAAATTACGTTAAGTTAAGAGTTTCAGCATTGCCAAGTCTCGTTCCCATTGCAGGGCTCAGAAACGACACACGTCTGGATCTGAGAGGCAACAAAATCAGGAATTTAACGGAGGGCTCTTTCCGGCCCATGCTTGAGCATCTCTCCTCAGGGACATCCGGCTTCATCTTTCTCTGGGGTCTGTCCTCCACTTTACTCGCAGGCCACTTTCCCCTCGATCTCGTCAACTTACCATGTCTCTCTCCCTCTCTCTTATTGTAGGGAATCCAGTAATATGCGACGAGTGGCTCGTACGTAGTCCCGACTTCAAGAAGTTTCTGCAGAGACTGGAGGGCGTGGAATGTGTGTCCAAAAGTTCCAAGTCTCCTGCAAAATAGTGCTCCAGAGGATTTTTTCCTTTCTTTGTCTTTCAGTTACGTGGCGTCCGTATGGGAAAGTGTTGATGGAAAAAATAAATTTTAATGAAGTTTGCATAAACTTTGCTCTATATTTGAACGACCTGATGACTTGAAGAATTACTGTAAGACATGTTAGATGTTTTTATTTATCCAATAAACATTATGAACCTACGCTTTCCCCTTGGAATTCTGTAAGTAGATCGCAGATCCGCGCAGAAACGCATTTTCGGGTGGAACGGTTCCGAACGAATGGCATTCTGCGCAAGAAGACAGGGTGGCGAAGCGTGCCTTTCGTAAATCGAAACCGTGCGGGGCAGTTATATCGGGAAATCTGAAACTCATGAAAATTTCCCCAAAGGCAAAAGAAGCACTTTGCTAGGGATGGGTGTATGAATTCGATGCCTGGCCGTCTGTCATTCATATACAAATGCATAATACATCAGAGGATGATCTGTCTGTGTCAGGGTGTCATTCCGGGGTAACATCTAGACAGATGAGCGGGTTTTCATGAGTGAGATGTCAATCGAGAGCTTTTGACCGGAGTCGATACTTTTTGGATCAAAAGTCTAAAAAATCGTCCTACGCAGTAATGTGAAAATCAATTTTCAATGGTTTCACCTTCCTTCAGCCTTAACCCCCACCCCGCCCCCCCCCCGCCCCCTGCCCCCCCACATTCTATAAGGAACTCACTAACGTTAGGCCTAGGCCAACCTTTTTCCGTTCAAAAGAAACTCTATCCTCGGCCTACGGACCGATTAGGCCTATAAGGATTAATCGCTGGTCTTCGAGACACCTCGTCGAGGACGTGTAACGTTAGACCGAATGTATTCAATAGGTCTTTTTCGAGTTTCATGAGATATTTCAGTGCGTTCGAGGAACATTGGGCCGGTCCAGAGTTCGTCGAATCGTCTCGACTCGTTCTGAGAAGAAAGTGCCTTTAGAAAGCAAGACACACGAGCTGGCCGGCATCACGTTAATTTAGGGATTTACGGATGAAGTATCTCCGTATTCCACGAAATCCATCGGCCACTGCAAACCGCCGCTCCGATCTCAGGTCATCCCATGACTTCGGCACAAATATGTCACCTACATCGAAAGAGAAGATCCAGACAACGATACTAAGGCTCATTAATCTGACATAACCTCGACACGAGATCCGGCAACCCTGCGGACGGGGCCGTTCCATCGCTGAAAGGACCTAAAATGGTGCACTGGAAGCTACAAAAAGGACACTTTTTGTCACCTACAGTCAATATTTTTCGTTTGGTTGGTCTCTTTCCTCCAAAAACTTCGCTGGAGTGGCTTCCCAGGGGGGAAAAAATATATATTATATATATTAATAAGTTAATATATTACCGGAATAATATATTCCGGTATATATTAATAAATAATATATACCGGAACGAAATTCACATCCCCTAACAGCGGGATTCAGTGATCACAGCCCCGGGGAGATGGAGCTTCAAATTTTCCGGAGCGATTCTGTGTTGTGAGAGGAAAATGTATGCTAAATTTCGTTTCTGCTGATGCTGGCAGAGAGGAATACGAGACGGTTGAATTTTTTTTGCCAGAAGGGGTCGAAGAAAGGTAATTGATGTTCATGCAATATGGCCGAATTTTGACACTAAGAATAACAATAAACCGATCGGACCGGGCCAAAGGCTGACTCGTCTGAGCTTCATAACTGACTTCCTCGGTGATTTTATTCGGGAATCCGCTTCAAACTGTGATGAAAATGTCAGCGGATGATTGATACAGGAATTCCCACTATTATACCTTGGATAGTCGGTATAACGAATGGATTTCTTGGGTCACGTAGGAAAATGGAATATTGCTGTTTTTATTTATTATTTATATATATGTATTTTTTATTTCTATCGAAAGAGATGACGTAACTCCACCAACCGATTCAAGATGGCGCTTAGCCCCCGATCATCCGATCCTCACCTTAATCCCACTTGAATGAGTCCCCAGTAATTTTTCATGCAGTATTCGATCTTTTTACCTGTACAGCTGGCTTTGGAATTCCTGATGGACCCGTTCGAGAAGGAAAATCGGTAGAAAGAAACTCCGGGATCCCCGAGCCCAGGGGATCGGGGGCAAAATCCTGAAATTTTCGAATTTATTTTATCTCGTTTAAAGACGATTCTTTCGAGTGATGCTTTGTCACTCCTGTCACGGATTTCTGCGAATTACCACATATTGGCTGGAAGTCTGGAGCAGACTTGCCTAAGCTTTTAATGAATACAGTTTCATAGGCTTGGCAGGTTTTGACTTAAACAAGGAAACAGTTTGTAAAAATCCGGAACCATTTTCTCTGTCGAATGATGATCGTCCTCAAGTACAGCTGCCGAGATGGGCAAGAACTCCAATATTTTGCACTGACTTTGAACTTCAATCGTGTAACCCCTAAGAAAATATATCAGGATGCCCTCAGATAGGAGAGGAAGACGAAGCGAATGGATATGAGGGGGAATCTGGTCGATGGCAGTCTATTGTACTGTAAAGAGAGGCGGCTCACCATGTACCGTCTGGAGTCCTTGATGGAAGAGAATTCCAGCACGAATGCGTTCGTCTGATTTTTCTCGCATTCCGATCGATTGAACACACATGAAGAGAGCTTGGTGTTCATTTCCCTGAAAGCGAAAAAAAAGCCACAGAGCTTTGTGAACGGGGAAAGAAGACGAAATGAGGTACGGATTGTCTTCGTTGCCTGATCCAAGACGAAAAGAGAACCTGTCCAAATACTCAATGATTATGAATTCTATGGGCGTGCAGTGCAAGAAATAAAATAAAAGCAGACCCTCTAGTTATGGATCAGTCCGTTGTTATTTCTCCACGGATCGATGGTCACAGAGGTCGTGCCAGAATGATATTAACCTCCATAACATCCAGCGAAGCATTCCCATCCATCCCATGAAAGCCGTTCAGATGATGCGGACATTCGGGGTTACGTGGTCGAGGGCGCTCCTCTTTTGCTTATATTCCGTCGGGACGACGGGGCAGTCCCTCTGCCCCGATTCCGATGTCATTTCGCCCTGTAACTGTGACTCGAGTGGAAGCGTGGATTGTTCACGAGCGAACGGTGAGGAAATCTTGTTCGCCTTCAACAACGTCGTATGGCCCACCACCTCACAATGGTGAGTGAATGTGCTCTCTGTTTTCAGAATCTCTCCCAATATGAGAGATGGGAGTATGACTTCGGAAAGGGAACGAGACCATGGGCGTGTCTTTTTTCTCAGCGGCTCAGCTAGCTCTGCTGAGGCCTCCAGCATCCCATGACGTCATGTTAGGGCTGAGCTGCTCAGCGCTCCCATAGTTCGCTATGTTCCGCTGCCGGCTGCTTGCCCAAGAGTGACGTCATTCGATGACGTGGTCGTGCCTAGCCAACGCGTCTTTTTCGCTAGCAGCTGCTAGCAGCTGCTAGCGGCTGGAGAAAAAGACACGCCCTATAAGTGAAAGTGGGCGGAGCATATGGCAATCCTCCCATTTCCTATCCAGCTTTCGAAAGAGGAAGCCAGCGGGACCTAGACCGCAGTTCGGAAATGGAAGAGGCGGAGGAAACCGAGAATCGGATGATTATGTTCATCTCTTTACTCCTCCTGGCGGTAATTTCGCTATAATGGAACCAACTTACCGTAGTCATGTTTTCCCCCGGTCCCCACTGTACATCACATGCAAAAAGAAAAGCATTCATTACTCTCTCATTCTTATCTACAATACACTGCAACAATTGTACGCATAAAGATACTCATGTTATGAATAACCAGGAAATGATGGGTATCATTATGAGGCACGGGATGCATAATTTACGGAGAACACTGAAACCCCAGAAGGATGTCCATAGGTAACATGGACTCCAATATGGGGAACCACCATGCAGCCCTTCCTGCCTCCACGGGTGAAATAAGAAGAATGAAAACCTTGAATGCATGCTTTCCTCTCTCTCCTCAGTTTCATTGTCCATGGAAACAGCCCGTGAAACTGAATTGTGTGCTCGCCATTCGGCTTTCTCAACCGCTGACTGTGACTCCAGGACGTCTTCCTTTCTCGCGCGTTTAGGAGATCGCGCCTCAGAATAGTTCGAACTTGCCCACCTTTGTCGTGGCATTTTGAAAGCAGCGCAAAAATGCAAAATAATAATACAGAGCATAAACCGAATGCTGCTGTCTTACGTGAGGCACCTTCGTAAACGGGCGACGGGACTGGTAACACAACACTGAAATTACATATGAAATTCATCGCTGGCAGTTGCCACAGCAACTTCCGTAGCCGACAATGCCACATACTCTCATTGTTGGTTGAGAGCACCCTCCCTTGAAGGAATTCAGTACAATGATATACTTATCGCCGAAATTTTACCCTTACGCCTTATAACGCCAACGTGCAGTGGCGTAGCTACCGAATGTGCAGGCGGTGCGACTGCACCGGGGCCCACACGCCGAGCTACGAAGAGGGGAGAAGGCAGGGGAGGAGGGGGGGAGGCGTTAGCTGAGAGCCCCTTGGCATCGGGACGAGGTGAGAACCAGCAGTCGAAAAGGTCAAAAGGAATCAAAGGAATTCAACGTGTTGAAATCTCGCAACTGGGATGCCGCTTCGTGTGGTTAAATGAAGTGGTGGCCACTCCAAAACCGTTCACCCAGGGCCGGATTAAAAGGGGAGCGAGGAGCAAGGGGGCTGTTGTCCTGGGCCTCATTTTTCGAGGGGGCCCTCGAAAGAAGTTAAACACGTTAAGTATTTGTGTAAAGTAGCAGGGGGTGGGGGGGACCAAGAATTCACATGCCCATGGCCTCGCAACTTCTTGATCCGGCCCTGCATCCACCCTTTCACTAGTGGCGGAATCAGGAGAGGGGGGGGGGGGGGGGGGNTGCCCCTCCTCTGGCAAAGTTCGCAGTCTATTTTTTTAATTTAGAAAGCACATAAATTAATGTTTATTAGCTCCTGTGAAATAGATATTCAGGGTTTTCACACCAGACGAAAAATGAATAAGGCGATAGGAATGAGAGTGTGGTGTGGTAGGCGAGGGGGGGGACTGAAAACTAGGAAACAGGAACCCCTATGAAAATTTTCTGTATCCGCCACTGCCTTCCACACTGACTTCAGCTATTGACGACGATGTATATGCTGCC